TTACACAATATAACGCGTGTGGCGAGTCGTGGTGCATTCCTTGGTTATTTACTTTACAATTATAGTATAATCAAACTTGGAAAGTATATAATGAAAGAGTACATGATGCATAAAACCCATTGTAGATCATTGTAGATCTTTGGTCAGAGTAAAGGAACTTTGTTTTAAAAAATGGGAACCACATGCGGGTCCAGTTTGCGTAGGATTTTTTTTTAACTTACAAATCAATACTACAAAAAAATTATCAATATCGCATATTACACAGCTAAACTCGACCCTATTTAGCTCTTTTAGTATTATTTTAACAAAGTCAAAAGTATGTTCAATTTCACTTTTCGCAAGATTTTGAAATTTTAAAAAATAGCTGATTAAATTTTTTACGCGTCTCCGGCAGAAAAAAATGCATTAGGTTGCTTGGTACGAACCTTTTTAAACCCCCCCCCCCCCCAAACTCACCGTGTACTTAAAAATTCGGGCGACTATTCAAAACCCAACCCAAGACTGCCTAAGTGCCTACTATTACTATAGTTTGAATCCAAAAGAGCGTTTTTAGGACACCGTTATATACATAGATATTTATTATAATAAGAGTAAATCAGATAAACTGGAAGTCCATTTTTTTTAAGAATTTTAGAATGTAATGTAATATTATTACTTTAATTAAAGCTCTATATACATATATTTTTTACTATGATACTACTTAACATAAATAAAAGATTAAGCGATTTTTTTTTCAAGTTATCTAATTAATTATTTTTTATTTTAAGAAAATCATTATCGCTAAATGATACATGTAAAAAGTAATTTAAAACGAAATTTAAAGTTAAATTTATGTAATTATACACTCTACTTACATGATTTCAGTAAGTACTTCGATTTGCGAACCGTTAGGAAATTACCGGCTTTCCGAACTGGTAATTAAAACACAAATCTTCACCGTGTCATTGTACAACTCAAAGGGTATTGTAATTCTGCCAATTATTTATAATTTTTCGCATGACATTTAATATCTCCATATATTACTCATTATATATTACTCATTTAATAATTAAACTGATTTAGGTAGTTATACATAACACAATATCATTTAAAACAACCCAACTCATTCAGAAATTGAAACAACTAAAAATTGAACAAGTGATCCGTGAAACGTAACACAAGTGAGTAAGATATACTTCGCAGACTTCGCTATTTCGCTAACTCCTATCACATTTACTAAAATCTTTAACATTATTTGTAAGGTTATGTCAGTCTATTCCAAAATGTCACATTATTGATGGTAATTTTGACAATGACAGCTCACTGTAGGGATGGGATGTATAATTGTTAAGGAATATATTCGATAATCGGAATGATTGGATACCTGAAAATTATCTGAAATTGTACGTCTTATGGCGCATTTGAGAAAAATGCTGAGAGTGAATTTTTACACTGCGCGACACCTAGAAGCGACACCAACTACGATGGCAACTATCATCAATTGCATTTATTGTCTTTTTTTTTTCAAAAAGGGAAACTGGAAAGTAGCATAAATTTTTTTATTAAGTTTTTTGTTACGCTAAAAAGTACATCTATCTTTTATGTGCGTATATAATTAGTAAAGACAAAAGAGCTGCCAAAATTATTGTCCTAATTTTTTTTAGTATTATAATTATTCAGCTTGGGATTTCTTCATACAGCCTATTCATCATTGTCAGATCATAAACATTAATTATAATAAATTTCACAGATAATGTAGATTCATAGAATCATATAGGAATGGCATATATTATTTTCGTAATATATGCCTTATATTACGAAAATAATAACTTTTCATATAAATTGCATATAAGGGAGTTGACTGCTTACGACCAAGGTTATACAAATCCAATTTCAAATTTTAAAAAAAAATAATCTACTCGACTTATTTCATATATTGTCTGTGGTAAGACAACCCAAGAAACGTCACTATCAATGCGCTTCTATCAATAAAGTTGTCTTGTGCCTGCTCGGTCTTTAAGAAGGGCGCTCTGAACTAGTTCATTTCGGACAGTGAACTAGTTCATTCTTTTAGTTTTAGTATCTCTTCAGTAGCGCTTGAGTCTTCGGATTTGGTTACATAGACCTAGAATCTATGATATAAAGATACAACATATTGTGAAAATTACAAACACTTCACTATATCTTAATTAATTAACTTCCACTATCGTAGAAAATTTGACTTGTTTGTAGATAATAATATCTACTTATTACACAGACAATAGACATGAGTCTGTAAGCTAAAATAATCTCGCCCTTTTGATTTATTAACCTAAAATAGTCATTGTAACATTGATATACAAAATAAATACCTATAGTCACAGTACAACCGATTCGTGAGGTCTCCACCGATATACTCTTTTACTCGGTCACCGGTCATCGATCGATTCTCTCTCTCCCACTCTCTCTCTCTCTCAGTGAGCAGTCGTGTTCGTTTCGTTCGGTACCGATAACTAGTATAGATATATGGAAAGAAAGAAAGAGCTAATATACCGATTTACAATTATCATTCGGAAACGTTTCTTTTAGTATAGTACAAAGATACGTTTTCTAATCATTCGTCGTTCGCGAACTACACAAGACTAAAAATATAACATTGCCTTGAGCCGGTCTCAGACATATATGCAAATGTTTATTAAAATATTTTCAGAAATATTTGTTAAATACGCGACAAAATCTTTACTCCTACACTTGTTGCTCTTCACATTGGTAAATTAATATGTGGAAGAATGGCGGATATAATAAACGATTTTCTTTTAATTGTTTAATATAATTTATTTACAGGTTTCCTGCGAATCTGAATTTACGACAAATTGACAAGGTAAAAACACTTGATAGGTCAGTGCCCCCGAACTTAACTGCTTCGACCTGCCTCGCGCTGCTCAACAGGCACAGAAATGAAAGAATTATGAACCGAATTGTTACGTACGACGAAAAATGGATTCTGTTTGACAATGGAAAACATTCAGCAAGTTGGTTAGATCAGCACCAAAGATGAAAGAAGAAAAAATTACTTAAATGAAAAATGAACCCTAGAAAGGTGATGGTCCCTGTTTGGTGGTCAAGTGCCGGTTTGATTCATCGTAGCTTTTACATAACCGCTTAAGCATTACTCCAGATGTGTACTGTGAAGAACTGAAGATAATTTTGGAGAAGCTAGCATATCTGCAACCAGCTTACGTCAATCGGTCGTCCCCGCTGCTACTTCACGACAAGCGCGACCCTACACCGCACGTCAGACAGTTGCCAAGCCAAGATGCAAGAGTTTTGGGTTGCAAGCTCTCCCTTACCATACTCACAAGACCTTTCAATACCGACTATTACTTTTTCCAAAATTTGAACTGCTTTGTAGAGGGAAAATAATTCAATTCCCGATAGGCAGTACAAAATGCCTTTGAAAAGTTTGTTGCCTCCCGTACATTTAATTTTTGATTTTTACAGAAAAGGCATCAATAAACTACTGACTATTTTTTATATTGTGATTACTTTGAATAACTGAAATAAAAAGTTATTTCATACAAAACGGCAATTTAAAAATAGACCTTTTTGGATTCAAGAATTTAATAAATTAATGTAATTTATCGGGTTGTATTTTATTTAGTACCTTTAATTGATTTGTTGGTCGAATAAACTATGTATGTATGGTGTCTCCGTGGCGCAGTCGTCAAGGTATTAGCTTCGGCTTCGGGGGTCGTGGGTTCGATTCCCACACGGGACAACTATTTGTGTGACCCACAGATAGTTGTTTCGCATCTGCGTGTTTGTCCACGAAAAACTTATGTATGTAAAGCGTCCTTGCAACACAGGATACTGTTATCCTAAAGTGAAGGCAATGTCTTTTTAAAAAAAAAATTAAAGATGTATATATAATAATAATAGTATGTATAATATGAGCATATTTTATAATATAAAATAAACTACCTATGATATATGTACCTCATATAATAAATGTGAAAGATGGTCTGACTGACTGACTGTGTTACAAACTGTCTTTGAAACTGATAAATCAGACTAACATTGTATTCTACTCCTGATAATGTAAACGCAATTTCTAAATTCACAATGTTTTTTTCTAATTTTAAATTTTTCAGTTACTATATAGGAATGTCATTTTCGTTGTTGTGATTTAATAAGATGACACTATTTATTGAAAAAAAATATCTATTATACTATACTGCTATACACATTTTGAAATGTATTAACAGTAACTTCATGAAAACAATACTAATTAAGTGATTTCTGCGACCTGCTCAAAGCACACAGGAAGTATTTGCAACTTAAAATTAATGTAATATTTAATCTTACTAATATATTCATGAGGTCATAACCTATTCAAATGAGTACTTTTCACATTATTCTGAAACTATAATTATCCACCGTCGATTACACGGCGATCGCTTTTATAATAAATTATTTAGAGTGGACAATTTTAAAAGGTGTTATAGAATCATTAAATGATACTAAAAGCAAAACTTCATTTTCAAATAAAAAGCGACATTCAATATAAAGTACCTATATAAGATTACATTCATGTATGGATATATTATATTATTTGTAATTTTGCAATAAACGCATTATTACTACACAATATTATTGAAAATAGTTCAACAGATTCATTATTATTATTTTATCATTATAAAAATTATTTTTAAAACTAATAAACTGTCAGTGCATTAACGATTTTCTATAAGAAGATAAACTCAGTGTTTCTGTTTTAAGAACATTAAATTAATTTAACGTCATACAAAGTATAATATAATTACATAGATCAATATGTATATTTTTCAAATTGTTTAAATACGTCCCAAACATGTAAACAGTAACGGTGTTGTGTAGTCAATCGATCAAAGGACGTACAGAACAGAACAAAATCAGTGGAGTTTTGAAGTTGCATAATTAAACGTGTTTGAAAGTGGGCAGCTCACGAATAAAATACATTTTGTTTTATTTAGAAGATTGCCTGTTTTTAAATATTAGTAACGATGGAAGTGTCGCGACCGAGGCGCTATTTCGCTCTGCACTACATAATATTTCGAGTTTTGGGCCTTGGCTGGTGGCATCACCCCGACCAAAATGACACGCGAAACTTTCACGGATGGTACCTTTACTACTCCATAACAACAGAGCTTCTTTGCGTGGTGGGTTTCGTTATCCTGGAGACGATAGATCCCTTTATCGGCGAAAAGGATATGGACATGTTCATGTTCAACCTGTCGTTTGTGATTACGCACAACTTGACACTTATAAAGGTGGGAATATTCTTCTTGAGAAATTGTGAAATTCAAGACATTGTGCACACTTTAGAGATAGATTTGCAAGCATTCTATCAGAACAATAGTTTAAATCGACGCACTATTAAAATCTCGAGGATTATGACGGCCGCATTTGTTTTCTTCGGATGGGCTACGATTGCCAACGCTAATGTTTACGGGTTAATTCAGGATATTCACTGGAAGAGGGACGTCACACAGTTAAATGATTCTGCTACCAAACCACCGAGATCTCTACCACTACCCATCTATATACCCTGGCCATACGAAACAGAAAAATCATATGTGTTAAGTTTGCTCCTTGAGACTATAGGCATTTTATGGACTGGCCACATAATCCTGACCGTTGACACATTCATAGGTTCAGTAATTCTTCATATGAGTTGTCAATTTGTAATACTACAAGAGGCCTTCCTAACAGCGTATGATCGTACCATCGAAAGACTCTTTAACGGACTTGTAGAAGGGGAAAATATTCAGGTAACTGATGCAACCCATTTAAATTTCGAAGACGCAACTGTTAATACGGAAATATTAGTAATCAAATACAAAACCGAAAAGCAAATTGAAGAAGCTCTAGAAGATGTGTTAAAAAGCTGTTTTAAGCAACATCAACTACTGACTAGGTAAGAAAATTGTATACACTCCTTGTTATGTGCGCCAATGAAATCCGAACCCATACCTTCCTCGGGCAAGGGCTGGAAATTCTTATCAATTTCTTAATTCTTATCATTTTAATAATAGAATATTAGTAATATAGTGAACATTTATGTATGACATATTTTTATAAAACACGCCCGACGTAAAACAAATCCGTTTTGCCATCTTTTAATGTAAAAGATAATAAATAAATTATACGGGACATAATTTACTGCTTTTAACATAACTGATACATACAAATAACAAATTTCGGCATCAGAAAGTAGGAAAAAAGGCGCTTCGTAATATCTCCGTTTGCATGGCGCTCTTCTTTTCACTTGTAAATGATAACTGCCACCCTTGGACATTTGTAACACTCATTGAATTGTAAATGCGTCGCCACCATTTACTATAAAGTGTGCCTCGTTTACCTCACTGACCAGACAAAACTCGTAAGTACAACAGCGTAGACTGCTGCGCGGTCCTACAACAGACTTCAAATTAGTAATGAGTAGAATTTTGTTAAAGTAATAAATATATTTTTCTTATTATTTTATAATAATAGTAACAGAACATAATTATAGTGATGTATAAACAGCAAAAAAGTTGGAGACTGGTTTTCTATATATCTACGGACTATTATTTGACGTATTCTGTGTATTATTTTTTTGTTCACTTGATCGTCACTGTCACTCATATTATTATTAATTATAATATAAATAGTACGTGGTATAATAGTATGCGGGAAGACATACAAGGGAGTATAAAACGGTGGCGTGGAGGGGGCATGATGGGATCAAAGCTACTGCCATGCACCAATAGATATTTAAAAAAGGGCAATTTTAGCCAGAAAAATAAATAACTTACAACCCATTTTATAAAACAGAACAACAAAGTACATAACTTAATTTGTAACTCGTGTTGCTACTTCATAATTTATTATTTTTTCCTGTTATTTTAAATTTATTTTCCTTTAAAGTAAAGTATTATCCTTTAAAGTAATATATCTGGTGCCAATATTCGTGCAAACTTTATAAATTCTAGCTAGTTTTTTGGGCTAACCGTGCTGCACATCCAATTACTATGCTATGAAACAATAACAAATTTATAATTCGGTTGCAAAAACATTTGGACAGACTCGTCTGGGGAAGTAGCACGGCCCCACAGAAGACTGGCGTGAAGTGAAAGTATTATACTTTCATCTGGTGAGTGAGGTAACTGGGGCCGACTTTTTAAAGTTGGCAAAGCATCGGCAATCTGTCAGAGGTTGTAGATGTCTATGAGCAGCAGGAATCACTTACCATTGAGTGAACCGCCTGCTTGCTTGCCATATTTTCACATCACAAAAATACAAAATGCGCATAAATCTTCTTTTAAAGAAAGCGAAAAGTGGTAAGCCGCCTGCAAAAAACAGTGTCCCGCTGCGAAAAAAAATATCAATTCACAAACAATTCGGGAAATAAGGGGAGCCGCATTCAGTTTGGATTTGATAGCGTGCAATATCTGAGGATTACCGCGCCAATATTGTCACTGCGATGCTTTTTTCGCACTCCAAAATCAACATAATCCGCGTTTCATATCCACCTTGAGATTGCTAAAATGAAAAGAATATCTCGATTTCCAGCAAAGTATTGCCTTTGCTGGAAAACGAGATATTCAATAAAACTACAATTAGTTGTAGGTAATAAAAAGATCTGGGCAAGATCTACAACTTTTGTGTTTACACTTTTTTCACATAACCTCAAAACCAAGTTTTAGGTTTTTGATTTATGTTTTACAAAAATGTTTTTTTTTTTTTACGAAATTTGGTGAAAAAATAATAATAATGGGTTTATTTCACAAATACACTGTAATTTATTTGATTTGATTTTTTTTCTCACCTTATTTTGACTCAATATTGAAAAAGCACCAAAGGGCTTTTTGTTCGTTGAAATCTCAACATTCATATGGTATGTAAAATATATACGTTACTATGGTATTAATGTTCTCAGAAAATGCATGCCCTGATCTAACAGTCCAGTTTACACTCGACGTAACGCCGTTAGGTCATGTATTAGTCTTTAAGTTTTCTATTTTACATTCCCCGTATCGCACCAATTTAGGACTGCATAAGTCATTCTCAAGAATTTTGTCTGAATACAACTATTTGTCTGTATCAAACACCGAGCTGGATATTTTTACCGATTCACTTAACGTTTTTAAAAAGAAATTGTTTTCATTATTAGCATAACATGCTAATAATGATAATGATTTCACATATCAATTTACTAATATGCAAGCATATTCGATGTCTTTTGTAAGTATAATTTAGTCTACTGATAATTTATCTTTAGTGTCCACTTCTTATTTTTTATTTTTTTTATTCTAGTTTATAAGTGTATTTAACTCTTTTTATCAATATTGTGTATACCTGTAATAGGCATATATATATATATATATATATATATATATATATATATATATGTATATATATATATATATGTATATATATATATATATTATATATATATATATATATATATATATATATATATATATATATATCGTGTCAACAATTACTATAAATTAAGGTCGGTTAGCTCGAAGTAGCTTTTAATTTTCCATACTGCGTTTAACATACTCTTCTACTAACCAAAATTAAAATAAGCATTTCAGCCATTTCCAACATTACCGCATGACTGATCTTAATGGGAATAACAACTGAACTGCTCTTTCTTCTTGCAGTTGCGTGGAAAAATTCTCGTCGACTTATTCCTACGGCTTCATGATCCAACTGCTGTCTAGCATGGGGGCAATTTGCGTCGTCATGGTACAAATTTCGGTATGGTGATATTAAATTAATTTTTTATCTTAATTTTAATCTTAAATTTAAATCTTAATTTTTTGATACCAGCGTTTGTTACATAAATCATATAAAAGAAAATAGTTACATAAACATATTATGTAAATAAAAAAAATGTTTTTTTTTGCAAATTTTATTTCTTTATTCATAATTAAACAATTTTCTACTAATGTATCTTAAAATTTTAAGTTATAAGCATAAGAAAGTAAAGGTTTTGACTTAACATTTTATTCTTGGCATAGTATTGATTCTTATTTGTATTTTTTCTGTGCAGCAAGATGCATCCACCTTCAAGTCAACACGTTTAATAACATCTTTTGCTTTCTTCTTCGCGATGATCATACAACTTGCCTTACAATGTTTCACCGGGAATGAGCTTACTTACCAAGTGAGTTATTATACAAAAATAATCATTTCATTTTGAACACTTAATTATTTTAGTGACCTTATATTTCTGTGTTATCTTTTACCAGTCAATGAATGGCGAACTTGTAGTTTTAATATATAGACAACAAAACAAATTCAACAAAGCCTATAGAAAATGAAAGATCGTGTATAAATTTCAGCAGTTTTTTAACCCTAACACTTCCAGTATGGCTAAATTTCTAGAATTTTCATTTATGCAGTACAAGCTACAGTCATCATCATAATTAAACAAATTACCTATATAGATGCCAAAAATCTCTTTAAGATGATGAGTAAGAAAAATGTGTTCATAATCACAACTCGGAATACTTATCTAACGTATCAACGTTTATTTCTTCTAACACATTGTTTAATTATTAAGAGTAAACCAATAATGATTGCGTCTTTCATTGGTTCCTAAACATATTCAATATGTTATATAAACTCATCCACCATTTACATAATTCTTACATACAAATATATGCTGCGTATGTCCAAAATCTACGCGGCATATCGATACTGCTACTAACCCAGAGTTTTTGAATATGAGTAATATAACTAATCCAATAATTTCATTGGTAGCGAAATAATGGTGGTAGACTATTATAGATAGCTAAGATATTTTGTTGTCTTTTTGGAGAAGCTGTAGCTATTTAAAAATACTATTAAGATATGTACATTTTTTCCAAAAAACTGATACAAGGTTTAGATTGAGACTGAACATAAAAACAAAATCTTTCTGGTATAAAGGATAAACCTATAATATAATTAATGGTAACTTTAGGAAAGTACCTAATATCGACAACGTTACTAGTATTTGGTTATTTGAAAAGCACCATTATAATGTTGGACTAATGAAGACCGAGATGTTTTAAAATAAGTCTGGTCGAATATTAACTTCTCTCCTGACTACTGCTGGTTTTGTGCAGTTGTTGTGATGTACTGTTTTGTCAGCCGACTTTATTCGGTCTTTTGACTGATCGAAATTAAACTGACTTAAAACAGACTTAAAGCATCCCACCGCTCCTTGCACCCATATTGTTGGAAGTCCAAAATGCTATGAGAGAGCTAGAAGAAAAGGCAAATAGGCTGCGACGGGATATATTAGATAATTCTTAATTACAAAGACAGGGGAGGACAAAAAATCCTCTAATTCAACGACCTGTTTTAACACCTGAAAGGTGATCAATTGATCCAGGGAGGTGCTGGATTTATCTTCCAGAAGTCGCTAAGTAACAAAGTTGAGGTTGTGTCATCAGTGACATGCATGGATTACGTACCGCATACCGAAAATAACCAAACGGGATTCACTGAACGTCATACAGACTGTAGGTCTACGCACCAACGTCGACACATCCCGATGATGAGGTGGAGGCAATGTATGAAGATGTAGGACGAGCCATACATTCTTCCAAAAGTCAGGCAAAATTAGGCAGAAAGAAAGATGATCTGATACTGGGTATTTTGGAATCGGAACCCAAGGTTGCAGCAGCTGACTGACTATAAATGGAAAAGGATTCCTCCTCATGATGAACTCTTTCTTTAAAAAGAAACCACAAAGAAAGTGGATCTGGATTAGGGCTGATGTGATGCACTTTGAACATGAGCATTTACCTGAAAAGGTCTAGACTGATAATTTTAACATTCCGTCCATCTCTGTGTGCTAGAAGCATACAAAAATATGATTCGTCTCTGGAAAGGTAAAATTACTTAAACACGAATCATTTATTTGGTGGTTAAGTAATTTTGTCTTTCCAGTGAAGAATTATCTTCAAAAGAAGAAATAAATTAAATTTTGAAAAATAAAATACTTTATTTTTCTCTACTTAAAAAATGTAAAACTTTATTTTTCTCAAAAACAGTGGGAACCCTAATTACACCAATAACATACGAATCAATATTCAGTTCGCTGTCGATACACATTCAGATTGAAGTCATTACATATTGTTATACTAAAAGTAACTATATTTTTATTATTATAAAAAAAATCATTATTGACGCTTGGGTGTTAAAATTAATGTTATAACATTTGCCACCCTATATAAATAGTGTTCTCATCATTAACAAGGTCATTTTCAGGCTAGTCAAGTGGCGGAGGCCGTAATGCAATGCAAATGGGAGCGTATGCCGCCGCGGCTTCGTGCACTGCTCATTATGACCATGATACGTGCCCAAAGACCCCTGCACCTCAATGCCGCTGGCTTTGCTAATATGGACAATGAATGCTTTGTGTCGGTAAGCAAATGTTAACATCGCTTTGCGTCATATTCCGTGTAATATCTACGTCTGATATAATGCAATTTGTGGATCGAACGTGCACGTAAATTTTTTTTCAGACCACCTGCCTATAATAGTTAACAAATAGACTTTATATACGACGTGAACAAATCTCGAAGAGCTTTAGCTGTACATGTTTTCACCGTCCTTAAATATCTAGAACACCCATTGGGTTGTATTCTTCTTCTTTTCGAGTCAAAATAGCTAGTTAGATCTTGTTCGACCAGTATATGGCCACATCTACCCCAGCAGAGTTGGCTTCAAGCAGGTCTCCGTGGGTGCAGGAGGAGGGACATAACGGGCATTGCAGCAGGTGGGCCATAGTTTGGACCTCGCCACAGTGACATTTATTGTCGTTGGAGAAAACCCACTTCACCAGGTTATCCTGACATCTTCCTACACCAGATCGAAGTCTGTTTAGGGACTTCCAAACTGCCCAGGGAAGATCACCACCCGGGGGGAGCCTCTCAACAGGAGGCAAACTTGCAGGGTATTTAGGAGGGTACTTTTTATTCCACCGTTCCAGCCTAGCTTTTGGAGCGAGCCTCTCATTTAAGCTAGGCTGTCTGAGAAAGCTGTTACGACTCTTTAGACGTGGTGGTGGTGGAGTCTGGCTGTGAAGTGGATGCCTGCTATCATACTTCTGTTTATGCCTCTCCACACTGCAAGCTACTTCTCGACGAACACTTGGCGGAGCTATACCAGCCAGGCTATACAGTTCGTGCAAAGGAGTCGGTTTCAGAGTTCCGGTAAACACCCGACACGCGGCATTTAGGACAACATCGACCTCTTTGGCATGAGCAGAGCGTGCCCAAACTGGGCATGAGTATTCGCCTGCAGAGTAGCATAAAGCTAAGCTACTCGTCCGTAGTACATGTGGTGATGCACCCCATTGGGAAGAAGTGAGACGGCGTAGTATGTTGTTTCTTGAGCTAACTTTGGACCTCAGTTTGCGACAGTTTTCCCTATAAACTAGCGATCGATCCAAGGTAACACCAAGGTATTTTGGCGAGGGATTGTGTTTAATATCTACGCCATCCCACTCAATCTTTAATACCCTGTGGGCCCCATGGTTGCGCAGATGGAATGCGCAGGACTCCGTTTTGGATGGGTTTGGTCGCAGTGAGTTCGTTCCATAGTAGTCGGTAAGTTGTTTCCAGGCCGTTGAAAGACCGATTTCGATCTCTTCGAAGGACGTGGCTTGTGATGTAAGCGCCAAATCGTCGGCATATATGATGGGTTGTATTGGTAATATCTGATTTCTATATTTTCATAATAATATTGCCATTGCTAAAGGAATTTATTATCTTACTAGCTACTGCCCGCTACTACGTCTGCGTAGAATAGGCTGAAGGTGTAACTTTCAGATAGAAAGACAGATATACATAAAAATATTATATATATATATATCTGACTAGGTTTCATAGGGCGCCCCCGAAACAGAAGGCCGTGGTTCGTGTCACGATCATTTACATACTTATTTTTTTACTCTTTTTCGATTCCAGATCATTGCTTTCTTTATTTTTTATTTTTTGTCCATCTAGATGACTTTGTACTTTTTTCCCTTTTTTTTAAAGTTCTTTCTTTTGTGAAAAAAAAGTAATTTGTATCTAAATGTAATTTCCAAAATACACGATTTACCAAAAACCAAACAAACCGAGCAAAGCTCGGTCCACCAGGTACTTTATATAAATTATATAAATCGGCAATGACGATTTATAATAGAAACTATTTTATATGTAAATGAAATGTTTTTACACAGCCTTTTTTTATTTCCAGATCATGAAAGCTGCTTACTCCTATTACGCTGTTTTAAGTCAAAAGGAAATAAAATGAGCACCGAGGTGGTCGAACTGGAGGTGAAAATCGACTTTGATAAAGTAAACACTTTGACTGCAACAGATAAATTATGCACGCGGTTAAAATGAAAAGTAAAGCTTTAAAAATGGGATTCTCTGAATTATTGAAGTGGGTTTATAATGGTGTTATTATTTTATGTTTACAAAAATTAAAAACATTTTTCAGAAATTAAAAAAAGAAAAATCTCACGATTGCTTGCAATTGTTTTTATGGTCGTTTAATGGTATGGATTTTTAAATTTAGTAAAAGATGAATTCTAAATATCATCATAAAAATCTTTTTATGTAGGATATCTAACCCTGCTCTGTCTTGTGATTTTTGGTATTTATTAATAATACATTTAAGAAGCGAGAGAAAAGCGCATTTTGCGCAAGAGAAAATAGCGACATTGGCCTCAATTCAAAGTGAGTAACCCCAGTTCAAGCCCTGGCCAATGCGAGGAAGACATTCGTTCAACAGAGGAAAATGTTGTATGCAAATCTAGGCCAAACACTGTCGTGCGAGGCAATAGTTTTCTACTTTATTAGTTAGACTAGATTTTCGGCATACCATAGCAGCAACCGTAATCAAAATGTTTGGTCTTATAAAATGATCAGACTATAAAAAAATACATACGATTTGTTTTAGAGTACATCCTCAAAACTCCCCCAAATCTGTTTTTCATCCTCGAAAAGGGATGGTAGTACGTAATTTCAATCTCAAAAGACGATATCAGTTTCTAAAACTAAACAAATTCAGGTTTATATGTTATTATCTAATCCCCGAGTGTAACAGCCAAACAATTGGCTTTCAAAGCGTTTGAAACTTTAAACTGCACAGCGGAAATCATGAGAGAGCAGCGAATTCTTATTATAGTATTTTCGATCATTTTCATTAGTATAGCACAGTCACGGGACAAGTCATAGTTATGGTATCAAACGCAAAGTTTTTTCAGAGCTATACGAGGCTTAAGCTGGGCGGAATCAATTATAGTCCCTCAGAAATCGTTGCCTAATCTAGAATAAGTGTGGTATAACGTGGAAGTACACTAAACGTTTTCTAGAGAAGAACGTCACAGATATTGTATAGAAGTAGGTCCACGCGCCAGCTGCAGTTGAACAAATACCACGGCCTCATATAAGACTGGTGTTGAGTGTAAGTGGTATACTTTGCGTTGCGTCTGATGGATGAGTTAGCCGGAAACCACTTAAAAGTTGGCAACGCATCTGTAACTCCAAATCAGAAGTTGTGCATGAGCCCCAGTAATCAGTAAAGATCAAGCAAATCGCCTTCTCGCTTGCTAGCATTTAACGTAAAAAATCACTAAAGGAGGCACCTCATCCTTTCCGAACATTATTTGATACATAACTGTTACCTTCTACACCCTTTTGACACATTTTCTCGACATCAGATGCAGACTTGGAATGAGGAGCAAACCCAAACGGCATACAGGATCGAGGGGAATTGTTGGGCGGATAAGAATCAGTTCATTACTATTAGAGCGAAATGCTGACTATTCTTAAATGTTTAGACCAGTTAGCTCTCCATCTGAGTTATTTCTCGGTATAGCTTCAATATCACAACAAATTAATTGTGGCATATCTTAAAAATTAAGAAGCCTTGGGGTGGCTACAGGGGTTGGAAGGTTAGAAGTCACTACGGGGTGTAACTCCAAATATTATCAGTGTACCTATTTTATTAGCGTATCATATGTGAAGGAAACATATTAGCATCATGTGAATAAGTTGTCGTTGGTAATTGCAGTACATATCCGCCATTTCAATTGTGTTAAGACAAGTTTAACGACAACTTCTTTACACTTCACTTGCTTCAGACGATAATTTAAAATACGACACTGGTGCGAATTGATTAATTTCTGGCGGTTTTAAAACTAATTTTACTTTATGTTCACAAAATTGTCAACGAAAACTAACATATATCTGGTATTTTGAGTTTAAAGCTGGTAAGAATCTTAAAAATATATCGATTTAAGTTCCATATATAATTTATAATAGTTCGACTATTTATTTAATAGTTCTTTTATTTTAGGTACTTATTAAAATTAATGTAATAATTATTTCGGGTGATAATAAACGTTTCACACATACCTACAATTTAAATTGGTGCGGTAGTGGCAAAGTCTGTAAAAAATATTTTTATTCCATAAAAATAGACGTATTTGTAACATAGAAATAAAAACATATAAAATGTGATGACTGCCATTTCAATAATATGGTATATCTATAAAATAGAATGGTGTCCCATCCAGATTACATTCTCAACAGCTTGTAAATCTCAGTTCTTGTTACACTATTCCTATACAATTTCCTTTATTAAATATGTAAGAAGGCACCATTTAACAGAAGAAAATAAAATCACGATTTTGACAAGGAAGCCTTTTATTTCTAGACATGTTATTTATTTATTTACCTACTAGCGACCCGACCTGGCTTCGCATGGGTGCAATGTATTATACATATAAACCTTTCTCTTGAATCACTCTATCTAATAAAAAACCGCATCAAGAATCGTTGCGTAGTTTTAAAAATCTAAGCATACATAGGGACAGACAGCGGGACGACTTTGTTTTAAACTATATAGTGATGAAAAATAAAAAAATAGGGGTAGATCGTAGGGGGGTGAAATTTTAAGAGGAAAATGATATTTTTTATTCGAAGTCATGACAAAATAAAAAAAAAATTACCAAAAAAATTAAAGTTTATAATGAACAAATATAAAATAGGGGTTGATCGTAGGGGGTGAAAGGGGTGTATGTACTCTTGTATATTATATCAAAAAGAAATAGAAGAAACTTCGCGATATTTTGACCCGATATTTTATTATATTGAGTATGACGAACAAGCAAACATTTTTTCACCATTTCCTGTATTTCTTTTAACTTATTCGACTATGAGATTAAAACTGAATTTATTTCTTTAAAAAAAATAAAGAAATAAAAACAAAAATAATTGTCTCACAAAATACAAATAAAAATTTTGGCGTTAAATTTATTTTTCATCACCCTTAACACTTAGGGGAATGAAAAATATATGTTATTCGATTCTCCACGAAATTTCAAAAATTCCAAAATTTCACGAAAATCGGTCGAGCCGTTTCGGAGGAGTTCAATTACAAACACCGTGACACGAGAATTTTATATATTAGATTAGATATAAATAATTGATTGTTTTACATACATGTTGAAATCTAATGACTCATTTTGTGAAAACAATATTAACATAGTTGATAACATTGCGCAAGCTGCTTTAAGGCACTTTACAAGAAGTGGCTGTTTAAGAGAAATATTAAGTAAATGTTTATTATTACTGACATAAAACAAATCAGTTATAGCTTGCGTGAGGTTATTATAACAAATTCAAATAAGTAGTTTTCACGCTCCTTTCTGAAACTATATATAACTACCTATACCTACCTATAACTACTATAAAACTATATAATACAACCTCGATTGGATGGCGGTCGTTTTCGCAATAAATTATTTAATATGGATTATTTAAGAAGATGTATTTGTAATGTAATTAAAGTATAATAAAAGCTAAACTTAGTTATCATATTAAAATCGAAAGAGAATTTTCCATTTTTGGCCCGACGTGGACAGGATCACTACATAGTGTAAAACAAAGTAGTCCTGCTGTCTGCCTGTCTGTTGATGTGGTTTTTTTTGCTAGATAGAGTGATTCAAGAGGAAGGTGTAATGTATAATAAATTGCACCCGTGCGAAGCCGCGGGGTATCGCCAGTCCAGCAATAATTCTAAAAGTTATGATTAATTACTACACTAATATTTTTGATTCCGAAATTTATTTTGTTTATCATATTCACGATTTTTTTACACATAATTGTTTTTATAACACTTAAAAAAGAGAACCTTAACGATCTTCTATGAAAAGATATGGCCAATAGAGTTCATGTTTTACGAAACATTATCTAATTTAACCTACCAAGCATTATAAATATAAAACCGTTAATAAAATTAAAAAATTAATTTAATTAGTTATACAGAGGCATCAGGTTGCCTGGAAGAAATTACTCTTAGTAATAAGGCCGCCCATTGTACCCATCACTTCTACATTAAGTTTTAATTTTTGTTTGTTTTATTTTTGGTGTGCAATAAAGTATATTCATTCATTCATTCATTCAGCAGTAGATATGTTTCCAATTGTTTAAATACGTCCCCAACATGTAAACAATACCGGTTTTGTGTACTTAATCGATCTAACCATCAAACCCAAGCACAGAACAGAACATAACGTTTCTACGTCAGTGTCGGTCATAGTAAAGTTATAATTAAATAGGCGATTTGTGCATTTTGCCCGATTGAGAGTATTTTTTTTGTTTTATGTAAAAAATCGGGTTCGCTTTACAATTCAGCAATTTTACCGGTGTAGACATCTTACGTAACCAGTGAAGTGTTCGAGTTGTATAATTAAACGTGTTTGATCGACACGCCCCGTGGCTGACGAATATAATATATTTTGTTGTATTTAGAAGATTGCCTGTTCTGTTTCATTACGCATTAGAATGTCGAATACGATGGAAGTGTCACGACCGAGGCGCTATTTTGCTTTGCACTATATACTATTACGATTTTTGGGCCTCGGCTGGTGGCATCATCCGGACGAGAATGACACGCGAAACTTTCGTGGCTGGTACCTTTACTACTCCATAGCAACGGAACTTCTTTGGGTGGTGGGTTTTGTTGGGCTCGAGACGATAGACCCCTTCATCGGTGAGAAGGATTTGGACAGGTTCATGTTTAGCCTAGCCTTCGTGATCACACACGACCTGACAGTTATAAAGCTAGGAATATTCTTCTTGAAGAATCGTGAAATTCAAGACATTGTACGCACTTTAGAGTTAGATTTGAAAGCATACTATCAGAACGACACGTTGATTCGGCGCACTATTAAAATCACTAGGATTATGACGGCTGCCTTCGTTTTCTTTGGATGGATAACAATAGGTAACGCCAACGTTTATGGAATAATACAAGATATTCGCTGGAAGAGGGACGTCTCACAGTTAAACGATTCTGCTACTAAACCACCGAGAACCCTACCGCAGCCCATCTATATACCATGGCGATATCAAACAGAAAGGTCATATGTGTTAACTTTTCTCCTTGAGACTATAGGCATTTTATGGACTGGCCACATAGTCATGACCATTGACACATTCATAGGGTCAGTAATTCTTCATATGAGTTGTCAATTTGCAATACTACAAGAGGCCTTCCTTACAGCGTACGATCGTACCATCGAAAGACTCTCTAACGGAATTGTAGATGGCGAAAACAATCAGCTAACTGCTCAAATCGAGATGAGCGTTGACAACGCAACTGATAATAGACAAAGTTTAGTAATAAAATACAAAACCAAAAGGCAAATTGAAGAAGCTTTAGAAGATACGTTAAAAAGCTGTTTTAGGCAACATCAGTTATTGATCTGGTAAGAAACATATACGTTGTATACCTACCTTCCCTATTGCACGTTTGAATGACATCTGAACCTATAACTTTCCAAACGAATAATTGCTATTTTTTATGTACTAAAGATGAGAAGAGGCATTTCTTACGCAATCCTTTTTAAGCTTAATTTAAAATTACGCTTAATTATTAATTGTCTATCTCCGTTTTCGTGTTCAGCCTTGTTGGCTTTTAAAACCTAATATGACCTGCAAATTCTTGTCAACTACGAAATACTTTACTACTGGTTGTAAATAAAAGCAATTTTTATTCGATCAGAGAATTTTACAAATAAATTTGTTAACAAAAACAGAACAACCATGGCACCTTTACTAAATCATAACAAGTAAGTAACTCGCGTATTATAACATCATATAATATTTCGAGCTGTTATTTAAAATTTTGTTTTTGCGCTTTTTGTTTAGCGCGTTATACGTAACACGTGCGTTTTGGCACTCATGCCGTGTTCGATTCGCACAAACCCTATTAAACTCCCATAAACCGCGTTGTAAATTAACTAGAAGGATGGCCGCGACCAAAATCCGTGCCAAACTTTACAATTTGTGGCTAATAGTCTATCGGGTTTCTCTCGTTGGACGTGGAATTACAATAGCATTGAACAAAAACAAATTCAGAATTCCATTAAAATACAAAATGCGCACCACTATTTAAAAAAAGTAAAGATGTTGCGAACCGCCTGCAAACGACAGTGTCCCGCTGCGTGAAAAATCTGCAATTTCCAATCAATTCAAGAAATACGGGGAATTGCATTCAGCTTGGATTAGACAGTGTGCGATATCTGAGGTTTACCGCGCCAATATTGTCACTGATATACTTTTTTCGTACGCCGAAATCAACATAATCCACGTTTCATACTCACCATCAATTTGCTAAAATGAAACGTCGCCATAAAAACTTCAATAAAAGTTTTCATTCACATTTTTCAGTCAACATTCGTTCGATCCGGATAGTTCCATTTACACTCGACGTAACGACGTAACACGCTTCACTTCCCGATGGCCCTTAGGTGACAACTTCTCCTCCAGTAGATAACGCTCGCAGGCCTACCCAGTGTGGAGGGTTATATTTGGCGATGACGCTTCAATAGGCTACGGTCTAAAAGCGTAATAGTTTTCATTATCAATTCAATTCATTATCATCATCCGGAAATGTCTACTGTTGAACAAAGGCCTCCCTCTCAGAACGAACAACACTGCTATTTGCTTGCACCGGTTGCCCGATCATTCAATAAACAAAAAAGATCTCATTAGATAGCACAATTTCGACCCATTTAAGTCAACTTTATTCTACAGGTCCTTTTAAGGTCCCAGGTTCATTTTAAATGTCACAAATTTGGCGAGTGTACTATTTATTCTCTAGGATGTATCTTACCGTAACTTCTGGGGCGTATATTATTATTACCCTTCTTTGATTGATTGATTGCACACAAGGAAATACAAGGAAGAAGATACCGGAAAGATAGCGTACATACAGGCGGCCTTATTGCTAAGGTAGCAATTTCTTCCAGGCAACCTTAGGGCATAGAATTAGATAATAAAGTTGCGAGATGCAAAAATAATTAAATTAATACATATTATGTAGAAAATATGCATATTAACAAATACTTATTAATAAGTGTGAAAGTAGCAAAAAAAAAACTGACAACCAAAGCTCAGAGGAAAAAGTAACGTTGGGATGAAATCAAACAGGAAGGGAAAGGAGACCTTCTTTCTTCTCCAAGTCTTTCATACTTTCCTTATAAATACACACAACCTCCAAGTTATAATTTATGTATTATAATGAAAAAAATTAAGTTATAAGCGCCATATTTGAACATTAATAACATTTAGACTTCTGAAATTATGATATCGTTTACAAGACATTACACTATAAGATTGATCGATTAGTTAAATAAAAGCTGACTTTAATTTAAAATTATAACTTTGAAAGAAAGTCGGTTAGTTCAAAGCAAGTTTTCACTTTCCATTTTGCGTTTAAAATACTTTTCCATTTCATCATGATTATCATCATTTCAGCCTGTTTGAGTCCACTGCTGAACATAGGCCTACCCCACAGACTGCCATGAATTACGATCCTGAGCCACCTGCATCCATCGGCTTCCGCGCACTTATGTAAATTAACAAATAATTTTTTTTTATATTTTAAAATTAGAAAAATCCTATGTGAACTTTGAGACATACACAAACTAACATCGCATCGATATCGTTGGACTTAAAGGTAAAAGCAGCTAAACCGCTTTTTCTTATTACAGTTGTGTGGAAAAATTCTCGTCGACTTATTCCTACGGCTTCATGACTCAACTGATGTCTAGCATGGCGGCAATTTGCGTCGTAATGGTACAAGTTTCGGTACGATGATTTTAAAATTAAGTGACTCTAATTATAAAAATAATTTACATAAATTACGTTTTATATTAATAAAATTAATATACTTTATCTCATCAAACTTTCTTTTTGTTTAAACAAGTTTAATTATGCTGACGTATCCCACGGCTATAATGCCTAAAATTTAAAAAGTTTTTAAGCATACGAATGTAAATAGTTTTACGTAATAACTGTTTAATTCTTGGCATAGTATTGATTCTTGTTTTTACTTATTCTGTGCAGCAAGATGCATCCAGCTTCAAGTCGATACGTTTAATAACATCTTTTGCATTCTTTGTCGCAATGATCATACAGCTTGCCTTACAATGTTTCTCCGGAAACGAACTTACCTACCAAGTGAGTATTTATACAAAAATAATTATTATTTATATTTTCAACATGTAATTATTTTATTGAATCTCATATTTCTAAGTTACCTTTTCATAAGTCAATGAATGAGGAATTTGTGTTTCAATATTGTTCTAATTATTTCTCTAAACTATGCATATTCAACGTCGGACACCCATATACGGGTTTGCACGATTCAATCAAAAACGACAAAGAATTCAATGAGATTTGGCATGAAAGCAGATTCATCCTTTTTATTCGTATACAGCGTTGTAAAAATATTAAGATACAAAACATACAGTCTACATTGGCGCATAACGAAACGCAAAGGCTCTTGACATTGATTAATGAAGTTTATTTTTTATCTTAAAATATGTTATGATTGAACATCTACTTTTGTTATTCTTTTACACCAGCGGTGGCCAACCTTTTTCAAAGCAAGTGCGCAATGAAAAAAAATTACAGCGCGATGCACGGGCTCATGTTTTTTTTTCTCAGGTGGTTAGGAGAGAGAATAAAAATAAACATATATTAGAGTCATAATAATATGACTACAGTACATGGTAAATAATATTAATAATAAATGAAAATATTAATAAAAATAATCAATAAAAAGCACATTGTTTTAGGTATTTTATTGATTTGAAAAAAGCCTTTGATACCGTAAGTCACAAACTACTATTAGAAAAACTAGAAAGCATCGGTATCAAAGGCAGTGCTTTTAAAATTTTTAAATCTTATCTAACAAATAGATCACAGGTAGTCCAGATGGGCAATTTCCAAAGTAGTACATTACCGGTTACGCACGGTGTGCCACAAGGCTCTATATTGGGACCACTCCTATTTTTAATATATGTAAATAACATAACAAAACTAGGGTTACATGGTCATATAACTTTATATGCAGATGATACATGTTTATTTTATTTTGGAGCTAACATAAATGATGTTATTTCACGACAACAAAATGACCTGAAACTTTTGTTTGACTGTTTCCAATATAATTTACTCACGGTTAATACTACTAAAACATGCTACATTATTTTCAAACCAAAAAATAAGATCATCCCATTACATGATCCATTAACAATTAATAACTCTCCCTTAGAACAAAAATCCTACGAAAAATACCTTGGCGTAATAATAGATATATTTGTTCGTTCGATGTTATTATATAACATCGAACGAACAAATAGATCACATTAAAAATAAACTTTCGGCACTTACTGGTTCTCTCTGCAACATTTCTCAATGTCTACCTAGAAAGATGCGCTTCACTATTTATAACTCATTAGTTAAATCACACTTACTTTATCTCATAGAAATCTGGGGCAGTGCTGCTAAAACTAAATTACAGGAACTTCAAAGATTGCAAAATAAAATAATTAAAATACTTTTCAGTTACCCGTACATGACGCCAACATCCAAAATTTATAAAGATACAAAATAAATGAACATTAAACAACTATATATATATATATATACAACTCTTGTATTCTAATTAGGAAAATAATAGATAAATCCATCCATAATAACTTATCATTTGTAACAAAATCACAAATAAGTAAACGCAGTCTTCGTCGTCCTAGCTTACTTGTATTACCAAAAGTATGAACAAATTATGCAAATAAAAGTATTACCTTTGAAGGAGCTCAACTATACAATAGACTACCTACTCATATAAAAAAAATAACCGCATTTAACAGTTTTAAGTCTCAATTATCTCAATACATAATTGATAACTTTTCGCCTTCGGGTTTGAGACATAAAGCTGTTAACTGTTTGGCGACCATAACATTATTTTATGATTGTATAATATTCTCATGTAAGTGGCATTGTAATGTCTTTTTGGGAATAAATTTCTTTAACCTCAATGGTAAATAAGAAGTAAACATGGCATAAGAAAGCTAATTATGTTCTTCAATGAGAAGGTTGATACTGTATTTCCTCACCCATTTTTTTATAATTAGGATTGTAATGTAATACTGTTATTTTTAAGCAGTTATTTAAATTTTTATCTGTGGGACTTCACCTAAGCTTATTTTTAATAATATCTATCTAAATAAAAAATTTTGCATGGAAGAAAACGTGACTACACTTAGACATGTCAATCCAAAAAAGATGTAAGCTTCAGTGCGCAATTTTTTAGTATTGGACATTTTCAAATCACCTCTCAATGCATGGTTTAACTGATTTAATTTCTGACATACATAATATAAATCACATAGTCAGCTCGGATCTTTGATAATATCATAAATTTCCCCTTTTTGTTCAACCTAATTTTATTTCAACAATAAAATCAAGAAAACTATGTAAATTAGTATTTTGAAAGTATTGCAGCGAGCGCCTTACAGATCAACGGGCGCGGGGTTGACCACCACTGATTTACACTATAATTATTTGTTTAAATTATTTACCAACCATGTAATGTATTTAAAAGCACTGCCACCGAATCGTGGTCTTTTCTCTTTTTAGGTTGCATTTAATTTTATTAAATTTTCCTTTCTTCTTAAGTCACTCCGTTCTGGTATTTATTAGAATAAACACCGTAATAATGAATTGACATAGACAAAATAAGACAACTAAAATAATTTATTTTTTAAATTTTATTCCATATCATTGCGTTGTTTAATATAAACAAATTTCACTCCATTGTACAGTCAAATAGCAAAAGAAAAGCGCTTGAAGAGAGTTATACAGCTTCGGGCGTTCTTCGTTCGTTACACTTGGAACGTGTTTCATCTCACAGGCTCATAACGGTGAAATAAAGAACGCTACAATAGTACCTTGAGCCATTCTTTTGAGAACGGTTTCGTCGCAAGTAGTATGCATGGAGGACTGTTTATGCGTTGAGAAAAAAGAATACATGATAAAAGAAAGATAACGATGCAGATTGCCTAGTTACGAATGAGAATGGAAATGGCTATACGATTTTGAGACGGGATTTACCGTACGCTACGCTTACTAGTGTTATCTATTGTCATGTAAAAATGGTCGGGCAGACCGTGTTGTTTTTTTTTTTTATTTATAGTACGTAGCAGATATACGAAAGAAATAACGGTTACATATAAAAATCAATTTGCCAGTTGCCAGATAAGTTTTTATCCAAGGTGTATTCGAGGCAAGAGTGAATAAACTTTTTACTGAGTTAGTGCTTATACCATCTATGGCTACTTAACATCAGGTAGGTAAGCAGTCAAGCACTGGGCAGCACCATAAAAAAAAGGTTTAGATGAATGTAGAGTAGAAGTTACATTTAGAATGACTTGTATTCTATGACTTGTATTCTAAAAACGGGGCCAACTACAGAAAATGAATAACTCCAACCCCAAGAGCGCCTTTCATTTCCTTGGCCGGCGATAATTTTTAACGAAAAAATATCTTAGCATATTCCATAATATAAAATAGCCTAAAAAGTGAAGTTAATTACACAACAAAATTATAATAAATCATATAAAACAAAAATGATATAAATTTATTTGTTTAACTAATATCTGCCGGATTTTTGCCTCGAACTCTTCCTGTAAGCTCGTCCCATACATGCTCGAAGGAATTTAGATAAGCATAAGTCTTTGTGCTATCCTTATGCTTAATACTGGCCAATTCATGGTCTAAATGTCAATTTCGATGGACTGACGAGTGATTCGTACCGTATGTCACCGGGCATTATGATGCATTAAAAAGAAGCCTCATAAGAAACTTCATAAGGCACGATATGCTCAAGAAGAATATTCTTCACGTGTCGCTCAGCTGTCATACCGCCATGACGTCCCATAGGGATGAAAACGATCTCCGGTTTTCCTTCTAGCCAAATGTCCGCCCACACCATACACGAGTCACCGCCGTAGGAGACTGTTTCAGCAAAACAGCACCACGAAAATCTCTTGCCTGCACGTAGACCCGGGCTCTTTTATAGAACAAGATTGATCTCTTTTCTGAGCACTCCAATTTATGTGTTAACGAGCAAATTTTAGTCGCGCTTGTCGGTGAATTGTGGCCAATTTCGGACCTCTGGCGGGTCTTGGAGTGTGGGTCGCTACTCTTAAGCCTTTTCTGAGTGTCCACTTGCCGACAGCTACTCCTCGTATCTTTCTCAGCTGCTGTTGGATGACAACACTAGTAAGACGTCAGAAAATGAAACTGATGATGATGATGAAACTGAGATCGTCTCCCTCGAAATTGTGCCGGCGACGATTGATATTTACCCTCCTAGAATAGGAACCGGTCTCGTGAATTATTCCATTGACCCTTGGTATAGAAAATTGGCTCAGATTAAGTTGGCAAGCGACTTATCGCTGACATTGGCCCTGATGCAGCAAGGCATCGAATTGAGCGGCTTCTTCCGGCGGATAATCTATAGTTTCTGAAAATCGGTGATCCTTAATTACGGAGGTGTGTTCAGGTCAACGTCTGATAACCGACTGAGAAGGGTGCTTTGCATGCCTGAATCTTATGGGGGGATAATTGAAAAGCGCAACTCGCTTTTACAAGTGTTTTCCATAAACGTCAGGATATTATAAGATTTATAAGATTTATAAGATTTTGTCATCATTTTAAAGCATTAGGTTTATAAATATTTATAAATAATCTTTTGTAGTAATGAGTCAAATAATAAGTTTTTTTGGTACATATTGTCGGGGTGAGTCGATTTAGCTGCTCGCTTCTGTAGAAACAGGCATTCGGTACACATTGAGGTCCAAGTTGGTTTCACTGTAAAACCAGAAGAAAATATTTTTATTTTTTCGAAATAACATTTTTTAGTGACATGTCAAGTCATAAGTATTAATTAATATGACATAAATTAATAATAAGTATTAATAATAATATTAACAACGTTTTCAACATTAACAACTATTTTATTCATACTAATTTCAGGCAAATCAAGTGGCGGAGGCCGTTATGCAATGCAAATGGGAGCGTATGCCGCCGCGGCTTCGTGCACTGCTCATTATGACCATGATACGTGCCCAAAGACCCCTGCGCCTCACTGCCGCAGGCTTCGCTAACATGGACAATGACTGCTTTCTGTCGGTAAGCGAATGGTTACACCACTATGCCGCGAATCCCGTCTGATTTTCTTTTTATGGGAGAAGGTGGCAAACGAATTGGCGGTTCACCTCATATTTAGGGGGAAAAAGTAAAGTAAAAGAAAAGTAACAGCCTATAAATGTCCCACCGCTGGACAAAGGCCTCCTCTGTACAGAGGGTATCAGGGCATAGTCCACCATTCGTGACACATCAAAGACTGTTGCGTGGTCCTAGTTCTACCGCAGCTATAATGATTTTCGCCATCCAGACATTTAGAACACCCATGGGGTTACAGTTTTATTGCCAAAGTTTAAGAATATCGGGTTGTTAACGTGTGATTTATATATATATATATATATATTAAAATTGCCCTTTCTAACGGAATAGGTATTTTTTTGTTTTAAGGACGTTTGTTTTTGTTTTTGATTTTTACACAGCCTTTATTATTTCCAGATCATGAAGGCTGCTTACTCCTATTACGCTGTTTTAAGTCAAAAGCAAATAAAATAGGCACTTACAACTAGAGCATCGAAATAAAACTACTTCAGTACGCACAAAATTTATTGGATAGAAACTTCTCTTAATTATACACTTACAATCACTATTATAACAACGTGCTATGTTCTTAGAGTGCAACACAGTAAACTTTACAATCTAAACTATCACAGGTTTTCGTTGATGTAAAATTAATACATATAATGTAGGAGATAATAAATTAATTACCAAGGAATATTGCCCCGATTGTGTATTTTCTTGATCTTATATACGAATGCTACTTAAACACTGCGCACAAAGGAGTTCTGTATCAATCACAGTTCAAGGAGCGGAGGTTTCGGCGTCACAGAGCGCGATTTCTGCGGGCTCTTTATGTCGAGAACAGTCATCTCTTCACATCTGCAAATGCGGTGATAAACGATTTAATAAAATGATAAGCTAGCTAATTATGTTTAATAATTACATCGGGAATAAGACACCGAAGATAATTAAATATTTACAACGCTGCAAAAGATAAGAGGTAGTTTGCGCTCAATTTGTATCGAAAATATCTAGATTTAAAACGAAAATAAATATAATCAGGATAGTTTCAGGTTTTAATAAAAGCGAAAAGATTAAAAATAGAGTTTCATTTCTCCTACTACTGATAACGCAATAAAGAAATTATGATTTCAAATTGGTGCAAAGAAATCCACTACTAGTTCTTGCAGTTTCTAATTTCTCTGAAATATTTCTAATAAGTAGTTATAATTAGGTAAGTGTTCATTTCAGCTCAATTTCCATCAGAGCTTCACACCAAACCTCATTAAAAATCTTTGACATTTAGAAAACGAAACGCCGGCAAAAGATCCAGGTTCGTGTCAGTAGCATTTTACTGGTGCCTGCTTTGTTACTGACACGTATGACACATTTGCAAAGATTGAAAGCGTACGTTCAGTTTTCTGGGGCAAAAGTTACTTTGGGATTAATCCTGCTACTTCAATCACTGTTCCGTGTGCTGCTTCAAAGCAGAATAAATCATAAAGAACACTAATATGATTTCGCTCTTGTTAATAAACTGAATTCATAATTGACGTGAACAAATCTTCACTGAATAGCATTGATTTAGATATTTTCAGTCATAGATAAAGATAATCAGCCTTTAAATAATAATGACAAGTCGAATTATAATATTCATTAAAATTGCGACTGGAAACAAATATTTGGGGCCCTAAAAGATAATACAAATGAAAAATAAATGAGAATCTTTACTTTTGCTTTAAAGTAAATGCAGTTCTTCTATATATTTTTAACAGTTTAAACAACAATAATAACATTATCAATATATGCAATGTATATATGTAGTCTTGGTTCTTGAACATATATATGTATATATATATATATGTTCAAGAACCAAGACTACATTACGTATATGTATACGTAATGTGTGAAAAACACTACTTACTCGCTATTTGGCTACAAAAAAAAAACAATCACAAATTGTATACGAAACCGGGTACAGACTATAAAAACAAGCCGTTTTTATATCTGTATACTCGTTTACAGATAGCAGACCTGTCGTCAGCGGAATGAGCGGCATTGTAGAACACGTCAGGCAAGGGCGAGTCGTGCTGGCTTAGCAACGAACTACCCGCCCTGGGCGGGTGCGGTCCGTGGCTGGCATACGGAGAGAACGGGACCGCTGCCCGTAGTGCGGCTAGTACTAGCAGCAGACCACCTAATCAATAAAGATTGCTATGTACTGTTCGGTTTTTACGGAATAAATCAAAGGCATGTCACTGGCACCAAAAGAGCCATATTCATAATACCAAAAAAATTGCAAAATCGTAGCTTGTTACAGATAATAGTAAAGATAGGTATATATAAAATACGGTAAAAGTAACAGCAGAATCAGAATATATTTGTATACTTTGCTATACATTATAAGTATCAATGCTGAGCATAGTCTACCACGCGAACCCACTGCAGATTGGTAGGCTTTTTCGAAGATATGATAGTTTTCCTCTGATCTTTTCGTTTACCGAAGGAGACTCGTCAATCAAAATTGAAAATAGCAGACGATTAACGATAACGATTTCAGTGAAAATAAAAAAAATAACTAGTACTGGGTATTGAAATAAGGAATGTATTAAGTCTAGTATATGGATGCTCGCCTATCCGGCCACTGAGCTACGTTGCTGCGGTATTTTATAATATGCAAAAAATTCTCAAAGGCACTTTGTCCTAAATGTAATTATTCCTACTATCGATGATATCTTTGGTTCTCGCTTCGAAACACCGAATTCTAAATGCAAATTTTCAATTCGATTCAGAAATATAAAACTTGTTCACGGTGACTTTATAATACACGGAATTAATAAATTAATGCGGGAACCGCAAAGCTGTGTCAAAAAGAAACGCGGGACTAAAAAGGTCTCGCGGCATTCATAGCAAGAATACCTGGAACAATTGGAATATTAAATCCGCCACAAAACATTGAAAGCTGTTCAAGCAAAATATGAAAAAAACGTTTGTTTGTTATGTTCTGACTTTTTCGATTCTTTATAACGGTGACCGGCTGTGGCAAAAAATGGAAATAAAAATGTATGCATAGTACCACAGTCTTTAGTGCATATGTTAGTACATACATCGAACGTTTGTGTATAAAGAACATGTGTCTATTTGCACAACGATTACGTGGAATTCATAACTCTATTTTCTGTTGACAATATAATAAACGATTCTATCTTGTTTCTATCACCACTCTTTTGTTTCTAGTAAATTAAAACTTAGCACTTTTTGATGCATCAATTGACACAGAGAGTAGTACAGAGAAACCAATTTTACAAAAAGTTTCGTACCAAATTTTATACCTTTGTCTTAAATACAATTTTTGAGTGAAAATAAAACTCCTGTAATTATTTTGATTAATTTAATTAACATAAATTAAATATAAACTAATCATTAACATAGCCCTCATATGAAAACGCGGACATTTTTGTGTGGATTTTTTATCCGAATGTCACAGACCATCAACAGATATTAAGGAAGATTTAGGAAGTAAAGGAAGGGTTAATTTAAAAAAGGATCAAATATAAATACCGGAAAGTTGCTATTGTTTTTTGTACAATTTAAATTTTAAACGTCTTATATAACAATATCTTGTTTCATAATTATAATAAAATAATTATTACCACTAGAAATGAGTAGAGCGTACGAGTAGGTATACGTTTGTAGTCACAGTAAGCGTTGGAACATTGTTTCAATTTTAAATCATAGCCGTAACACATTACATAGATAGGAATCTGTTAAGTGGCTTGGTCGACTTCTGGCGACTCGGAATACAAAGTTCCTTTAAATTCGAACACGGAAATCTCGCGAGTTGGCAGACACTCCCGCCCTTTTCTGGCTCTTACCCCCGGCTGCAAGTATGCCGTGTCACTATGTCACAACTTACGCGTGGTCTCGAAAACAAAGTTAATTCTGTTGTTAAAAAGTTTATAGCATTTCTTTCATATTCGCTGCGATATGTTATTTTATCTGACAATTATTATGTAGTTTCGTAGGGTATTCGATCTAAATTGATGTTGGTGGAATTTTATTAATTACTAAGTGTATGCATGACTAATGATCGTTATGGGTAGTAGTATCCATCAACAAAAATCCATTCATTTCCATTACTAGTACAATTCGTTCCACGTACATTAAGGGCGGTCAAAATTTGGGAATTTAAGGGCAAAAGTTTAAGCCTTAGTGGCTGATTCCAATAAATTTTCCATTTTTCGAACAAGGCTCAACAGTACCATTTTTGACTTAAATTAGTGTCGGTAAAATTTGAGCTTTTATACAACTGTTTTGATGCGTTGAAGAAGGTACTATACGTTATCTACGACGTGCTCATAAAATATATGAATTAGTATAGGTCTCAAAACTTTACGCTCAAGTACTTTTTAAGTGTGGTAGGGCCACGCAAATGCTTCTACTGTTGCAGGAATGGGCAGGCGTTCCGAGGAAGTACCACGGCCATACAGAAGACCGCTTGCTTGACAACTTCCCACATGAAAAACAGTAATGAATACTGGTAAGCCGGCGAGACAGCCTATAGCGGCAAGCAACACCAAAAGCTGTCATCTGACTCTACCACTCTACATAGTCTTATATTAAAACCGGGGGTGCCGTTACTAAAATACTTATAACTTTATAAAATATAAAAACTATAAAGGGAAAATGATAAGGAACACTTCGAATTTCTGAACGATTATCACCTGCAACAACGGCCAATAGAGTGAGGTTGGCAAACAAGATGGCGGTAGCGGCGCAAGCATAAAATGGCGCACGCGCTCTTCCGCACGACCACCGCATTAAGTCCCAGCAACGCAGAGACAGAGTGTACTCCCCGCGCCGGCAAAGCAGATCCACGAATAGCGCCACAACCCACATCGTTTCCAAAAGAAACACCAAAACTGCTCCAACTCTGCACATAGACAAAAACACGAGCGCAAATTATTTATGAATTGATTTATAAACAAAATCTTACACTGGTTTAAATTGAGCCCCCCTTAGATTCCATTTGCGTGGGACATCTGGGGGTTTAAAACAATGAACTAGGCTTATTCTAAACATTTTACTAATTTTGAAATAATAACAATAAGTTCGTTATCGTTAATAGGCTAAGAGCTATCCGTAGTCGAAATTAATCAAACGTTAAAGGGAACTAATTCTAGATTTAAAGGAAATGTTTTTTCGAAAAAAAAAAAGGAGATCATGTTATACCGACTTATAAAACATATCTTTAAAAAACATCATGCAGGTTCCGAGTGCATTTTTATTGAAGAACAGAGAAAGATGTTATTTTTTTGTATTTACCACTGCTGGGCCAAGGCCTTCTCTGTCTAAAGGGTAGTTTGGATATAGTACTCACATGACCCCACCGTGGCATTGGCAGACTTCACATATATTCGACGTATATTTTTTATTATTGTGCCGGTTTCGTCAAGATTATTTCTTTAACAGATGAATGAGCCTATGATATCATTACTTAAATTTGACATCTAAATATTCACTAGCGCCGAGATTTGAAATAAGTTTGCTACAATAAGTTAAATTAAAGGCGAGCGACCGGACACTATCGCTATCACGGCTGTTTTACACATGTTTACTCGATATAAATTTTTCTATTCGATTCATATCTTGAATTATAACATTAGTTTTTATAAAAGTTTTTATATTTAATAATATTATTGTTTGCAGCCGGCTTAATAACAAATTTAATGCGCCATGAAGTTTAAATAGTTGATGTAAAAAGGCCTTATGTTTTTTATAGCTTCCCTTGTACCCAATTTCGAATTACTTCATCGCAAAAAGTGGAAGAGTTTACGATCTTGCCTTAAATATTTCACATCACACATTCACGTGAGCATGAACCTTAAATATTTAAAAGAATTATTATGCATATGTTACTTTATTTAAGTTATTGCAAAATTTACAGCAAAGTTAGTGACAATCTAAAAAAATAAAAACTTGATTCATGTCTAAAGTGCCTATACTGGTTAACAATACAAGGCGGTCCAGGATATAAAATTGATGCAACATAATTATTGCCAGTTTTAGTTAGTTTTGTTGAATGTTGTCATATCTTATAATATAATATAACAAATCATCCTTGCTCGATGTCTGGACAGGCCTCATTTTAACTTATAGATCGGAAAGGTTTGTGAACTGATTTTAGATTTCGGGTTCGTGCGTGATTGAAACAAGTTCAAATCGAATAAGAACCATATAAAAAGCTATAATTAAATGTTCGACCCACACCTTTCATGATTTATGAAATTATCGTTAACTTCTTGAAAAAGTTTCATATGAAAGAACTTTGCTATTAAAGACACTACGATATGACATGAACGTATGATATAATGACGTCGTTCGCGTTTAAAAATAAAATAAAAATATACATATTCCAGTTTAATGAACGCAGAACCTAAGAGTTGCACTAACGAGCACTTTTTCTAAGCACCCGCACAACAATTCAAACAAAGCTGGTGCCTAACTTACACTCGCGAAAATTATTATAATGCGTGTTTTTTAATACCCTCTTGACACCAACTCAGAATTATAAAAGAATTTTTTTCTACTTCTTTGTCATGTTATCTCTCCGCGCCGAATTTATTACTGTACGAAGTTATTACAGTTCTTTTCGTGGCTTCGAGAAAAGAATTGTCAAAACTTGATAACCCGAAGAAAGTTGCGATATTAAAATTTGCCTACGAAAGTGACTAAGTGTTTGTATTTTACGATACAAAAGAACACCATCTCATTATATCTAGCCCGTAAATGTTAAATGAAACTAAGTTTACGTGTTTTTTCGCGTTTAATTTTTACTTTAATTCCCGATGATTACAACCTAATAACTGTTCTGTTATGTTCTATGTGAAGGTTCCAACCTAATAACTGTTTGTTCCGTAACCAAATAGAGTCATGGAAAACAGACGTTTTTTCGCCCAAAATGTCATAGTTAATTCCGGCTACTTTTAATAAGTACTTTTAATTACTTTTAATTACTTAATAAGTAAATTTACCCCGATCGACGCAGTAGGAGTATCTTATATTCAATACCTACAATTACAGTGCAAGCAATTACCATTGACGGAACTATTAAAAAAACAACAGTGGCTTGGGACATAAATCTAAAAATTGTGCTTGATTGGCGATTATATTATAATGTATATTATTATGCATATGGATTAATAAAAAGAATTAAAACGAAAAATAAAAGTTGAACTGAAAATTTGGAAAGAAAATTTTCATTTATTCTTTTAGTATTATTGTACAAAAGTAATAAATTGTAAAAATAATAAATACTTACAAAAATCCTGGTGCAATTTCATACCCAAGTACCATTAATTCTGCTCCAGCTCCGCTTAGAACTGTAAAGTAGAAAATAAAAAACCTGTATTTTCTTAAAATTCGCGCTGTACTTGAATTCTGTTTTATGAATTGTCACTTCACAAAGGCGTTCTTAAAAAATTGGATGACCTAAGTTATATGTAAGTTATATATGCTGTATACCATTCGGAACGTAATGTTTTATTATTTATCTTAACGGACAACTACAGTACGTGTCCTGTGGGGTTCTATAGCAATCGTTCCGTTATGTTATGTACTATGCAGAGATGTGAAAATAAGTTTTTATAGTATTAAATGTAAATAACTAGAGTTAACAGCCTATAAATGTCCCACTATTGGGAAAAGGCCTCCTCTGTAAGAGCATATCTGGACATAGGCATCAGGACCATACAACCACGCGACCCCCCTGCGGATTAACGGACTGTACCTACATATTTTAGAAATATTTTTTTTTGTTATTATTTCGAAAATATGCAGGTTCCCTCACGATATTTTCCTTCACTCCCTTGCACGTGATAAAATTCAAAATGCAAATGCTTGGTTATTTCATTATTTCAAATCAAACTACTAAATCGCTTTCAATTTAAGTATTTAAATACAAAATTCAAAATACGTATTTTCGAAATATGTTTTTCAAATAAAATGCCTTATTTCAATGATTTTATTCACCAGGTTTTGTTCAACGAGTTCATCTTTCATGTTCTATGTGGCCTAATAGTCATTCGAAAAAACGAAAATAGTTCTTCAACAGGAACAGAACTTGGCAAAATCACATTTAAGAAAGACTTTTTTACACTTGGACACTTTTTCAAGGATTATAAGATAGAGACAGTTATTGGAGCTCATTTCATATTGAAAAAGGGATGAGAAAATAATAAAAAATTATAATTTTTAAAATCTCTCAAAATTCCCTTTTAGACTTGCTTTAATAACTTATAAATACACCATAACATTTGGGGTTATATCCATTTGCAAACTGCTTAATTTTTTTTTTTCCATTCACATTAGTTATAGCATACAATATTCGTAGTAAATATCTTTATCGCCTTTTTTTGATGCCATCAAGGTCAAAAGGTCATGTCAATGAGTATCAATGAGAAATTGGATTTCGATATCTTTACAAACTGCCAATTTAAGTTTTTAAAGAGTTTAATTTAGGGAGCCGTTTGCTAGTAGTTTATAATATATATTAGCCGTTTGTTAGTAGATCTTTAAAACAATTATACTATGAATTACATCGTATTGTAGATGGAGAAGTAGGGAATTTTCCAGTCGGTTCCGAATAGATATCACAGTCGAACACAGCATTTAGGAGACCCTGAACACAGATTCCAAACTGCTTGACATTTTGCCATGGCTGCACTTAGAAAAACTATTCTAATTCATATCTCTTGAAGCTATTAATGTAAAAGTAAGGAGTATTTGATAAAACTTTCATGATTAGGCAGCTGCAACTCTCCAAGTTCTTCAGATGACTCCGGAAGTTTTGTTATTACTAGTTAATAATAATTTGAATATAAGAACGAATTAGATGAGTTAAAATCTTTTTGCATATTAAAATTACGAAATATTTATATTTCAAATAAAATAAAAAATAAATTTTCAAAAACATTTTTTTTTAATTTCAAATACAAAGTAGAATTAGGTATTTTGAATTTCATATTTGTATTTTAAATAACTACTATGATGCTATGTGACTTATGGTACTACCTTATACTCTTTGAAAATGTTGTGAACCAATTCTTTTAAAATTTTAAATTCATGATTGTCCATGATAATCCATCCTCCAAAATACTTGGAGGATATTTATGACGAGGGTTAAAAAAGAGTCAATTTTTAGATTTTTGGTTAGGTAGGGCTACGATTATCGCACTCAGGCGAAATGTAGAGTAGAAAAACTTTTACTTTAGGGGCTCTTATGATACCGTTCTTCGGACGGCCAATACATTTATGCAACAACAGAAGGTAAAGAGTAACTCTACTACATCACATCGCAGCTCGAGGATTTTATAGAGATAGACAAACAAAAAAATAAAAAAATAATCTTAAGACGTTTCAATACAATAATTAATCAATACAATAATTAATAAACAGTAATATATTTCTTTTCTGGTAGTAATGACTTCGATTTAGAGATGGACAACAATTTTTTGTGTATTATAGTGTCCTTGTGATAAGTAACTCCTTAAAAATTCTTTCTTCTATTAGAACACAAATTATAAGTATCTTTTCGTGAATTTTAATAATAACCTGAGATTAAGGAAGCGTAAATTTACGCAATCTTGTAAGATCAATGCGTTATGTGAGATAATTAGGCACTGTGCATAGAGCGCTACTACATAATTCGAGGTATCTACTAAATGTCAATTGCAAACAATTGATGGCATTAATTAAGATCGATTATTCCGATGACGTAGTACATGTGTGTGTAGTACATAAAATATTATAACATGTGAAGGCTTAGAATCTTATTAGATACGAGTATTATACAACTTAAAACGTTTATTAATGTTCTATTGGAAAAACTGATCTAAATCCGGTATGAAAAGGTATTTTACTTAAACATCTAGGTGAGTACACCAAATTATATATATTCAGACAAGTTTTCCTTCTAATTTAATTCATTTAGCATGATAATTGAGTACCTACTTGGTAACGACAGGTAAGTCGATTTACAAATAGATATGTCTATATATATCCGTATCATAGTGATAAAGATACATAAGTATTTAATAGATAATTTTCGCATATTCATATGTTCCTAATTTAACCAAATTCACCGATAACGAATCAAAATAAAGGATAACGGAACCATTGATAGAAACTATAAAACACTGGAAACCGTGCCCATTTTTAAGGTAAAACGGGACCCTATTACTAAGACTCCGCTATCTGTCTGCCTGTCTGTCCGTCTGTATCTGTCTGTCGTGATAGTTATACAGTTAAAATGTTCACAGATGATGTATTTCTGTTACCTATATAACAACAAATACTAAAAAACCGAATAAAATAAAAAATATTTTAAGGGACCTCCCTTACAACAAACGCGAGGCAGTTGCTAGGCAACCTGTAGGTACTTACCAACTAGTTTATTATAGAAAATAGTACGCCCTTCGTGCGCAATTTCGACTCACACTTTGCCGCTTTTTATTCTTACCAAAGCAATATATATCTGACATAAATTCGAAACATGTTTCAATTTTAACATATAAAATGTATTAACATTACAAAAATTATCTTTCCTCGTTATCAAAATAAAACGAATAAGTGAATTAGCCAATGTGAATACACTTAGCACGTTCAGCACACTGAATATGATAAGTGTAATAACAATAAAAATAAACCACACTAATAACAATAAAAAATGAATTATTATTTTTATTCATAATATAAGAACAACTGCATTAATTTTTTTAAGAAAAATTATCAATTTTGGTTTTGAAAAACGTTTTTCAACATTTATGCAAGGTATAAAATTTAATATTCGAATTCAGAAAACCGATTTTGCAGAACGTAAATAATTTATGTAATAATATCCTAAATCACAATTCGGAACTTTCCTATGCCGAGGAGGCAAAGATGTTGTCTTGGCTGTCTATCAGCTCCAACGAAAATATCCCACTGAAAGTAAACCAACAAACTCATAGCTTTCGATACTCTCTGCGTCAAAGTAATACGTATGGTGCAGAAAGTATCAAAAGCTATGTTTCAATCTTTAGATAGTAATTTGGAGCCTGTTTTCTAGGAGTCACATCTAAAGAATCGAGTTATTGGCTTCACGCTTTAACATCAAGTAACTAGGGGACATTACTTCACGAGGAAGGCGTACGCACCTCAATATATATGATTTCCACGGGCCTTGTCAAAAAAGTGCTGTCCGTTTATCCCACCACGGTTCTCTGAATGACATCATCCATAGGGCTCTTGTTTCCATCAATTTTCTTTCTATTTTAGAGACCTGTGAAATTTTCCGCGACGATGACAAGAGACTGAACGACTTGACTTTAATCCCATTGGAGAGAGGCAGAGCCATCGTTTGGGATGCCACTGGTGAAGACAATGTGGCTGCCTCTCATCTTAGGGGGACTTCAACCACGGACAGGGTGGCATTGGAAGCAGCAGAATTATGTAAGTGGCGCAAATATGAGTCTATTTGTTTAGATTATATATTTGTGCCATTTGCTGTTGAAAGTTTAGGTTTGAGGGGTCCCCGTACATTGAAGTTTTTGAAAGGTTTACACAGGGCCGGATTTAGGGGAGTGCAACCGAGGCAACAGCCCCGGGCCTCCACAAACGAGGCCCTCACAATAGAGACTTCGGAAAAAAAATTCAATTCAGACTAGTAAACAATAGTAAAAAACTTTACCTTGCATATTTTTTTCGCGTTTTTTTCTTTTACCTACAGTACTTTGTACAAACATGATTAAATTATATATTAACAGAAATCAATAGAAAATAATTTGGGGGCAAGGGGCCTCTACTCCTTTGTGGCCCCGAGGCCTCCAGACCTCTAAATCGGGCCCTGGGTTTACATCCTAGGCATACCGGCACAGCCGGTGACAAGAAGGCTAGTTCTATTCCCGCTCAAATGTTGAGCGTAAAGCGTAAGCGTTGTCATGGTAGCACCATGCTCGACATCCAAACGAGACACCAACGTTGTCGTGCATGGTAAAATTCCCATCATTTTTCCCAAATGCGCCAAAAGAGGTATAAGTTCAAAAACTTGAAATGTTTTTTCCGTACCTTTGAAATAGAGTTGAACTTGCTATAATTAACTTTCATTTTATAAACTTTATAATTTCATTCATATTGAACTTACTATTTTATATTGAAGGTATGAACATATAACAGTGTATGGTTATAGATATGGTGACCACTAGGCGAATGTTAGAAAAATGAATTGTTGGAAATTTATTAATATTAAATAAAATTTATTTATATTAATTCCATTCATACAAAATCTCTTCGTTGCTCTTTAGTCTATATGGTGGATGCTCTTATTATTGTCACCTCCCATAACTGTTTACCGATAACAAATATGAGACCATCTATCTTAGTTAAAAAAATCTTCCGCATTTTTATACTTTACACAAGATAGAGCACGCACCAAAATTGATGCATTATGAAAAAAGGTATAAGAAAAATGCGTACATTTTATAAAGGACCTGATAATGTTTACTCACTATTGTGCTATATTGTTTACATTATAGCTATTTCTAATAATATTGTTAACTATGTTGTTGTAACTGGAAATCTATAAAATCGTAGCTAGATAGCCGGCTATATTAAAATATATCATAAAATATTACATATTTAACAGCATCGAATTGATTTGCCTTTAATATTTTAATAATTTAAGTAACTAAATAAGTGTAATAAAATAAATAAATCTTCTAAATACGCACCAACAGCAGTAACAAGACCCCATAGCCGTGCCAGTGGCTGCAATAAGTCCCATAACTTCAGAGCAAGAGATTTCTTAGGTGCCGGTACTCTTCTTGTTGGACTCCTGATTGATATGTCTTGAGGTTGAGACTCAAGCTCGTTAGCACCACTTTGTATTGGCCTTGATAATTCAACACTCATCATGTACAAGTCATTTATTAAATCATGTTAAACCTTATAAATTATATTTTGTATTGAGTAATTTTAAGATATGACAACCTCAGTTTTACATTTTCATTTTTAAATCACACATATTTAAAACAGTGAATTAGATTATGCTACAAGCGTTTTTATTCATAAGTTATTCATTACACGTATTTATTATAAATTGCGTACGTATATTACTTGTGTTTTTGTTTATTAACGTTAATCATGTCACTGAACGCATCAACAGCAATGTTTATCTAAAGTTTGGCAAATTGCCTGAATACTGAAATATCGCAACGCCTTGAAATATCTTATGACCATGCCAATGATAATTAAATTTATATCAAAATGAAATTTAAAAACTCATTACGCCAAAACATGTGCAAAATTAATAGGATACAATCGCATGACACTCGAAGGCATGCGTTTCCACATTAGGAATAGAATAAAAAAACAATATGGAAACGCGATGTTTATGGCGCGTAAAACTGACGCGACCGAGACATGTAGTTTAGTCTGAGTGTTGCGAGCTACTGAATTTTACTAACGGATTCTTCATAAATGTGATGTGGAACACCACACAACTAAACGCGTGTTGTTGAAATAATAGCTAGGTAATTTAGTAGTAGTAGTCTAGTATTTTAACTTAATAATCTTTCATGAGACGTACCGTTTTAATACCATTAAAGTTATAGCAATTTTTATAACGTTGGACTTGGTATATGTCTCCAAAATTCGCACTATTTATTAAGGACATTTCTAACAAACAAATTTCAAATTAAACTAATTTTAGAGATTTATCGCGTTTATTTTTAGCTTTAATTCCCGATGTTTGTTTATTGTTTTCAATGGATGTACATTTTTATATAAAGTGCCCTGCGAAGCGAAGATTTGATTTTTTTTTTTCCAAAATCTAAATAACTCCGCGTATTTTCACTTCATACTTATTTTTTCGGTAATGTTTTTCTATCGATTAAAAATATTTATATAGGAAAAACGCAAACACCCCTATTGTAAACAATTACCGAAACTAGCTCTAAACGAGCAGGCAATACATATATTTATCTAAACCACTTTCAACTTTTTGGTGCTAAATAGGTAATTAATAAGAAATCTTTTTTCAAATTTAAATTTATTATAGTGCTAATCTCTGCACTTAAGATTGTACAGCCAGCATACAAACAATTTCTGTTTTTTCAGGCTGAATATACCGACATTACGCCCTCATCATTTTCTTACATTTACATACTATATTTTATTACAAAGATTTAAGTTATGCCCGCTTAAATCTTAAAAAACTTGTTGACGTTACATGACTTAATAACACAATATTATATAGCTCTTGTGTTTGTCGTTCTTTGTGGCGTTCTAAGAAGTCCACCGTTGAACATAGGCGGGAGGCCTATGTTCAACAGTGGACTTCTTGCGGCGGATGTTGATGATGACATAGCTCTTAGTACCTTTCTGTTCAGAAACTATCGAGATAATGAGACTTTATCTTCAATTCCAATTTTAAATTGATTCTCCAATCACCAATTTCTTTCAAGTGATTTCTTGTAATTACGTTAATACCGTACTTCGTTAAATAAGATTAAACTATTATACTCTAAGCATAATTATGTTGAAAAAATTGATGCTGAATTATTATAAAACAAATTTATTTAAACGACGTTTTATTTAAAATAAATGTAGATAATATAGTTATTAATTGGTGCCTATTTCAAAAATGTTTTCATTTCCAAACAATTTCTTAGGTATACTGTAGATTTTATCTTACTATGGTATACAGAATATAGAAAAGCAATCAAGTCACGCCATAAAATATGTATACAAGTAATCTCAAAAGGAATGAGAAAGTAAAGTGTTGTTGAATGCTGTTTAAAAACTGGTCATTGGCACCGCATAAACTTTCAAACACTTCATCGGTACCAACTGTTTCACTGCTTAACAGGCTAGAAGTTTACGATCAATTTATTATGGTTCCGGGAAAATGTTGACGGTGAAAAATCATCATTGACCGTCGCTACTGGTTACAATTGAGCTAATTTTAGTTCTCTTCTTGCTGCTTCTGCAACTGCGGAAGTTCCATACGCATTTTGGATCATTCATCATTTTGGATAGCGCACAACTCATCACTAGGTCAGAACTAGTCACAAGATAAATCTTCTATCAAGGTGAGGCCCGCTGAGTCGGCCTTAAGGGCCTAAATTTGAATTTAATTTTTGCCAAATGTCAAAAAGCCTGCGATACCAAGATATAGGTATGCCATTTGAGACAGTTAAATTCATCAAAACATAAATCTGAAGATTGGACGAACTGCCGTTATCCAGAAATTATATTGTTTCTAATCCACTAAAAACTAGCCATTAAAGCCAATCGAAGTCTATCACAGTTTTGAGTAAAATCACAAGAAAATTTTCTCGCGTTAAATTAATTTTAAAGTATAACAATACTCACAATAGTACAAAGTAAGATACCACAAATCATCGGTCACAAAGGTAAACGCCAGATAGCTGCACCGACATCAGCAGAAAGAGGATCTCTTATGACAATAGTTGTTTGCATGAATGCCAACGTTCATTATTTTTCCCAGAAAAAATATGAGTGTTCAGCTAATGAGAGGCTGTCCTCCAGGGTCACTCGGAGTTGCACATTCATCAGGGTGGATTCAAGTGAACATCTTTACAGACGTTTTCAAGCACTTTATTCAACATACCAACCCGACTCCGGACACAAGGGTTTTACTGATACTAGATGGACACTATAATCATACTCACAATATCGACATACTAAAGGTTCTGCTAGGGATAATAACGTGGACATAGTTTCGTTACCTCCTCGTACTTCCACAACATGCAGCCGTTAGATAAGACTTTCATGGAGCCATTAAAAACATATTGTGTTTTTAATGGCTAGTTTTTAGTGGATTAGAAACAATAACAGACCTCTAAGTCCATATGATATTGGGGAGCTGTTTGGCAAATCCTATTTGAAAGTACAAATAGGCGAAATTGCCGGCAACGGGTTCAAAGTCACTGGATTATGGCCTTTAAATAAAAATGTGTTTAGTGATGTGGACTTTATTGGTGTCAACAAAATGCCGTAAGAGACGGTTGTACAACCAATGTCACTCCAATGGAATCAAGATCTGAAACTGGTCAAGTTCTGATATAAATACTTAACAGCAGCCCCGGATCTTCAATTTTTTTTTGGGTGGGGCAAAAACTGAGAAATGCCGCCCACGCCCACTTATATTTATTTTTATCTTTATCATCTATACAGGGTGGCTTTTCTAAAGATGGCCAAATTCACACAGGAGGTTTAGACTCGGTAGTATAATCTTTTATTGAAATAAAAACAAACTTTTTTCCTGTTTTCTTTTTTCCGTGTGTATTAAGCCAACTTATTTACAGATATAAAGACATAAACGTGTAGGATATAATTATATTTATACACTGCACAGGATAGGATTTAAAATAAAAAGATGCATAATAAAAATAAAGATCAAATATATTATTGCATTGAAATTACAATTTTACTCTTCGAGCTTGTGCAATTCGATCGCTAAGATTGCAAGACTCGATAAACGTTCCTGGCTCATAGAAGATCGCAAATAATTTTAATTAGTTTTAGTTTGCTAAAACATCGCTCACAGCATCAGCTGTAGTAGCAATACAAGTATTAGGTTACCTTACATATGAAATTGTGTTGTGTACGAGAGGAATATAAAGTCAATTTTTTTTTTGAAAAATATATTTAATTATCAAATTAAATATATTAATCAAAGTATGCACCGTTGTTATCTATGCACTTTTGCTATCTCATAGGTAGTTCATTGATCCCTTTACTAAAAAAAACATGGGGGCGAGAATCAACAAAATCTTTGAAGGCGGTTTGGACTGCCGCAGCGAAATTTTTTTCCTCAAGAAGTTGTCCAAATTCCGGAAAAAATGGTAATCTGTTGGAGCAAGGTCCGGGGAGTACGGTGGATGCAGACATTCCAATTGTAGCTCATCTTAATTTGTAGCTTCAATTGTAGCTTAACTTAGTGGTTGTTTGTTGTGCAGTCTGTGGTCTTGCGTTGTCGTCAAGCAGCAGTGGCCTAGAGCGATTGACCAATCTCGGTTTAGCAGCTATTTCTTCCGTCATGGTTTGCAGTTGGTGACAATATATATCTGCTGTAATCGTTTGGCCAGAAAGCTGTAGTGAACGACACCGGCGCTAGTCCACCAATAAATCACAAGTAACTTTTTCCGAGTCAATTTTCGTTCAGCTGGCTTTCGATTGGGCTGGGTCTCCAGGGTTCAGCCATTGTAATAAGTGCTTCCGATTATCGTAGAGTATCCACTTTTCATCATAAGTAATGATTCGATTTAAAATCCCTTCATTATTGTGTCTGTTGAGTAAAAAAACGTCGACACGTGTTTGCAAGTTCGATTCACTCAATTCATGAGGTACCCATCGTTCAAGTTTTTTTACTTCCCGATTTGCTTCAATTGGATTAAATACAGTTTTATCACTTACCCCGAAGCCTGCAGCTATCTTTGAAGTGCTTTGTGATTGATCCGCTTCCACAATACCCTGTAATTCTTTATTTTCCACCAGGAGTCTTCGGCCGTCCACGGGGTTGGTTCTGAAGGTCGAAATTTCTAAAACGAAAACGTTGAAACCAAAAAAGTGCCGTGCTTTCTTTTGCGACACCAGCGCCGTACATATTATTAATCCTTCGAGCTGTTTCTGCAGCACTGGTGCTACGGTAGAACTCGTACTCGTAAATATACCAATATTTCATGTTTTCTATTGTGCGGTATGGAATAAATTTATAAATTTGAATTTGGAAGTCTTAACCAAAGAGGAGATATCTCAAACGTTATATCAAAGTGGTCAGTATAACAAAATGCTAATTTCATATGTAAGGACCTAATATTAGGAAAAGCATCCTGCAAATCATGCGCATAGATCTGTTGCAAGAGATAGACAGCGCCTCGCGAATAGTAATGTTCGTGCAGCACGTCTCACTCCGCGCTCTGGGTCGATCGGTCGAGTTGTTAGGAAACAGTTGAGCAAATTATAAGTTGTCCATTCGTCTGTAAAATGTGAATTTGCCGCCCTTTGAACTTGCCGCCTGGGGTATGGGCCCCGGCTTGCCTCCCCTAGATCCGGGGCTGCTTAACAGAGTATGATAAAGTATCTAATAGAGTAAGAAAAGCTACGGTAGCAACAGTCATAACATCTTCACCCTACAAAAATAATTTAGTAAATAAAAATATTAGTCTCTTCGACAAGAAAAATAGAGTTAGACAAAGAATAAAAAGAATACTGCTAAGAGAAACATAAAAAGGAAGAAAAATAAGAATGATTGTGAAGAAGAAGACTCTGAGGAACAGGACGTTATCTAGTTTGATGAAGACAGTGAACATGATGAGTTCATGGACCAAGTATCTCCTGATTCTTCTGATGCAGAATGTATGTTCTGTTCAAACCTTTTTTCCATGGGTAAAAGTGGGGAAAGCTGGATTAAATGCTTAATGTGTGGACTCTGGGCACAACCCATTTATGGGTACCTATTCCATATCTGGTTACTCATTTGTGATTTTGGTTTTGTTGTTAGATTTTAATTTGATAACTAATATATTTTATTAAAGGCTGTTAATTACTACATATAAATGTATGACTGATTAGAAATGTATGAGTGATTACAATAAAATGTTTTAATTTCTATGAAGTTTATTTTTTATATCCCTGAAACAAAATGGTATTCCATATAAGGTGATTTTCCTAATTTTTTATGTTTAATTTCATTATAAGCAAAAATATTTTTATGTTGATTTATCGTTAGAATGTTGTGTAAATTTTATTGTCTATAAATAATTTTCGACACTTCTTGCTTTTTCATTATATTCGATGCATTATGGATTGAGATGTTATTTTCATAATAAGCTCACGGTTAAAATTTTCAAAATCATAAATCCATTGCATATTTAGTAGATTCCGTCAAAAGTTCACTCGTAATTTTACCTATTAAATGACACTAAATTTAGAAGAACTTCAACACAAGTTTGGTACAAAATACGCTAATTCAACAGCTTAAGGTCAAATTCTACAAATTACCAACAAGTTGCTCTAACATAACATAAGCATTTTATGACATATAAGAAGTAAAGAATAACATTTTGCAAAAAATGAATTAAAGACTCATATATTGAAGAGTTAAATTGATACTTTAATGATTTCTCGTAAAAAAAACTAAATAAAAAAAAATGTCCTAGCCATAATATAGCCTGCGTCGTCGCAGCTATGAGTAGATGCACTATCAACATTACTTAAAGTTGCTAGTGCAATAACTAAAATCTAGTATTTTGGATGTTATATGAATATATGAATTATTTCGATTTTTCGATTTTCGTTTATTTCATTCCTGGCATAGTGCATGTTGTTGTTAGGTATTCAGATTTTTTTAGCATTAAATGTTATATAAAACTGATATAGTCACTTTTATAATTAGTTCAAAATTATTAGAATTAAAACATCGCTATTTTAACATTGTCATATTTTATTCCATTTCTAAACGTATTCGATTACAAGTTTAATTCCAAGTTCGGCGCCCGCGTCCTTCCATTTTGTTTTTGGTTACGAAAAAGTCAAAGGAGTTTGTACAACGCAACTTGTGTATGATAATTTATAAAAACATAATAGTGTTTATAAATATTAGGTGTGGTAAATAGTGATAATGCAGACGAGTGGTGGTGCCAAAAACCCGCCATGGGCGCGACCAAATGTAAATGCAAACATGACCGGCATAAATCCTCAAATAATGGATCCAAATACTATGATGACACAACAAGGAATGATGCCGTTTCAACAAACACAAGCAGTATTTAATCCTGGCATGATGCAGGCACAAAGTGGGATGGCTATGCCCATGGCTGGACAAATGCAAATGAATCAAATGACTCAAGGCCAGATGTACCCGGGAAATGTTGTTGCGTACCCAACACCACGTGCAATGAATCCAGGATTATATCAGAATGCTCAAGCTAATCAACCTCAACCACCGCCTGAACAGCGAGTGTTTACAGGCACGGTTACGAAAACTCATAATGATTTTGGTTTCGTTGATCATGATGTGTTTTATCAAACATCCGTTTGTGCGAAAGGTATTATACCTAAAGTCAATGATAGAGTGCTCGTTGAGGCAACTTATAATACTAACATGCCTTTTAAGTGGAATGCAACTCGTGTACAGGTTCTACCGAAAGCTAATCAAAATCAGAAAATAAATCCACCTAAATCCAACTCGTACAATGCTGTACCCCCACCAGCTTCTAAGAAATCTATGCCGTCAAGACGCGACGAGCGACCATCACGGAGGGATGATAGGGTATATTTTTTTATTTGATTATGTATTATAGTATATATACAAGTACCAAGTATGGTCCTTCCATTTGTCCTAAATATTAAAATTTCAGAATGTAAAAAATTTTAAAAACATCAATTTGTTAACATTTGATCTCCATTATAGGGTATCATTTTAGTTAATCTAAATATATAATATACTCTGCAAGTACTTATATTGATAAACAAACCCATTTAGTGCTAAAGAAGGCTGCATCAGTGTCTCTTAAATTATTTTTGTTAAAATGCCTAAACATTTTAGATTTGTATAGGTAGGTGTAGGTTATTAAACCAATATCACTTACATTTAATGCCTTTTTCCCAAACAAACATTACTGGTGCAGGTGATAAAATTTTGAATTATTTTCATTTTGTCACACTATGTTGTGTTACATAAGTACACATACTTGTTTTAAACTTACATGTTTAAATAATATTAATATAATAAATACAGCTTTGACAATTATACATGGTGGCTTTTCTAAGTGTATCCATTTGTTTTTTTAGGGAATAGAATGCCATTTATTTTTTTTTGGAAAAAAGCTTGTTTTTTATTTCAATAAATTATTATACTACTGAGTCTGAACCTCCTGTGTAAATTTAGGCACTTCTCAAAAAATCTCCCCGTATACATTAAATTACTTCCACATCATTACATAAATACTGGGTGACGTATTACAATACAGTAGAACCTTGATAATCCGATTCCCAAATTCCTCAATCAACCGAATGCTGACTTAGTTTATACAATGCTCAACATTGATGCTAAACATACATTGTTGTTCGCTGCCATTGCTGTGAGCAACTTCTCCTTCTCAAATGCCTACAAGGCTTAGCCTCTCGAAAACATGTTACAGCCGTTCCTCAATTAAAAATTGATGAAAAAAAATATAAAAAAGCTTAAGACTGTTCAACTTTAATATATTTATATATCCCAATGTTAATATGTATGTCAAATTTTAATAAATAGGCACTGTTTTTTGTGATCCGTGTGGTGTATGATCTCTTCCCAAAAAACCCATGTTTTGATTATCCAGACTTGATAATCCGAAGATCACTTCTAATTGGTTTGGATACTGGAGGTTCTACTGTAGTTTTGATATTTTGCAATTGTATGCGACATTCAATTGATTAATCAATCGCATGTTATTTAATGAAAATTATCCCATTGAGATTCATCAACTATGTTTGTCTATGAATTCAAACTAACTAAAAACAAAAGACCCTTAATTGTATGAAAGTTTTTTTTTTTTTTCAGAAACGTTCACGTACGCGAAGTCGTTCACGCTCTCGGGACCGTCGTGACAGCCGTAACCGCAGAGATTCTCCAGCCAGGAAGCGACCTGTTATCCACCAACCCTCTCCAGTGAAATATGTTGTGCGAGTTCCTCGTATGCCACTTGACATGTAGGTTATATTTTTTAATAGAACATGGTGTTCAATACTAATTAAAATATGTTAGCTATATTCATATTTTTTTTTTTGCACTAATTTTTATTGTTTTCTTATAGACAAAAAGTTGATGTTCCCGGAATGTCACAGAGATACAACAATTTATACATACCATCAGATTTCTTCAATGCGCACGTTAAATGGGGTGAGGCATTCCCACCACAGGCCCCTTTTTCTCTGAATAATCCATGTTCATATCATATCATGAGCAAAGAAACAGATAATCCAACAATAAACGATGCCATTTTAGAACCAGCTGATGCTGACTATAGATTTTCAGCTAAGGTTAATTTCATTTTCAACTCTAATAATAATTTATATTGAACAGAAGTTGTCATATTCATTCTTATTTTTGCCATTTTAGGTGATGTTAATCAGCATGCCAACATTAGAATCTCTGTACCAGAAATGTGGTTTAACTAAGGTTGACGAAAAGGACAAACGTACTAGCAAATCGCCGTTACATCCCACACGTTTAATCAAATTTCTTGTTGGCCAGAAAGGAAAAGGAGGTGAAAACTTTGCTATAGGTGGCCCCTGGAGCCCTTCATTGGATGGCGAAAATCCTCAATCAGATCCTGGAGTGTTGGTTAAGACTGCTATACGAACATGCAAGGCTCTCACTGGCATTGACTTGTCCACTTGTACACAATGGTGAGTTGAGCTTTCTAAAATCCATGGAGTACAGCCGTTTTCCAGAGTAGAAGGTGTTCTACATTCTTAAACTGTGGTTAAAAACTTCCAGTATCATCTTTTGTTTATCATATTCTTGAAAAATTTTATTTTAATGACATAATTAACAAGAATTTTTTAGCCACAGTTATTCCATACCATAAAAGTCATGGTACAGCACGCATTCATTATGTGAGTGTTTGGAGTTCATACATCGCGAATGGCGCAAGTGATTGGATGCGGAGCGATGTACCTAACAAAACGGCAGCTTTGTTGTGTCCATGTCAGGAGCCGGGCACGTTCGCGTTTGTGAGTATCCATTATTACAACTGAATTACCCGCGCAGGTACCGAGTGGTGGAGTTTTACTACTGGCGAGAAGGCAGCGGTGGAAAATCGAGACTCGAGTGTGTGGTGTTGTTCCTGCCAGACGTGTGGTCGGCGCAGCCGTCGCGTATCGAGTGGACAACGGTTCAGGAGCGATATAAAACGGCGTGTGAAGCAACGTTAAGGAGACTCGAGGGCGTCGAGCAACAGCCTGACGCCGAGATCGACGCGTCGGAGCCGGTTAACGACGATCCAGCGGAGAAATCCCAAATTGTTTGTTCCCAGTTTTGTTTCGTTTTGTTTGCGGCTGCGTGCAACTTAACGGACGGAGACAGCCACCTCGCTTGCGTTGCCGATACTATCCCATCCTGGTGTCGGGCGAAGATCGCCTATGTGGAAATAATTTCATAGTACCCCCCTATGTCTTTTACTCATTTACCAGTTTCTCTTGAGGCAACAGATTGTTTAGCAATTTCTTACCTATCATTTTCCTCCCGCGTATTGCCTTAAAATCAACTGTAATACTTCATATACACTAAGCGTGAAGTAAATTTTCAGGAAGCAACCGTTGACGATGATCGCACAATAACAATTGATGAAAATGATGAGGATGAAGAGGCCAAACCAGAACCGACACATTACACTAAAATTGATCTAAAAACAATCAAAGTTGATCAGTTGCGACAAGAATTGCGAGCTCGTAATGCTAGCACAAAAGGTTCTTATTGTTTTATATTGATTGTAATGTAGATTTAACTATTTTACATCATTTATACTTTACCATCTTTTACTATTCAATAGGTCTTAAGGCACAACTTGTACCTCGTTTGGCAAAAATTCTGAAAGCTGAAGAGGAAAAGGAAGGCAAGGATGACGATATCATGGAGTTAGAAGATGATGAAGCAGAACAAATCACGGAAAATGTTGATGAACCTAAAAATGATGGAAAAGAAGGTACTATTACTGAAAATGACATTAAAGAAGTTTCATTGGAAAATGATGTTGAGGAAATTGAACAAGAGTCTAAAAAAACGGAAGAAAATGGTAAGCCTGAGGAAAAGGAAGTCGCGAGTATAGAACCGAAAAGCGAAAAGGAGTTAGAAGAGGAGAAAAAAAGGGTAAAAATTTTCAAAATATTGATTTGCTTTTGGCAAAATTTATTAGTCAATAAAGTTTCTGTGGGTTAAACATTTTGTTCCTAATTTTTCTCATATATTTTTAGCTGGAAAAAGAAAAGATAGCCATAAGAGCACGATATGAGTTGCCTTCTCTACCGCATATTATTGTACATCCATCAGCTACAGCTAAAAATGGAAAATTCAACTGCAATGTTGCTACACTTTCTCTTTTATTAGATTATCGAATAACGGACAACAAAGAGCATAGTTTTGAGGTAACCATTCAATGCATTCAATATTATTAGACATAATTGTAAAAAAAGAGGTAACGGACGCAATTTTAATAAAATATTTTATTTTAGCTATTCGTGTTTGCGGAACTGTTCAATGAAATGCTCATGCGAGACTTCGGTTTCTACATTTACAAAACGCTTTATACCCTGCCTGAGAAAACTGACGAGATAAAAGACAAGGACAAGATCGAAGATAAGGGTGAGAAAAAAGTTGATCTAGACAAAAAAGAGGACAAAAAAGACGAAAAGAAGGACGATAAGCGTGAAGACAAGCGAGATACACGTAAACGAGATAGAAAAGTAAGTTAGAATACATAAATGAATTATTTGGTACTTTATTTCATATTGTTTTGCAATGATATAAATTACTTCACAGTTAGTTTGAATGTAGGTTACATATCCTAACTGTCCGAAAATGTATGGACTGCCATAAATTCGAACCTACGTCTTTTGGGTAATGTGCTCAATCTAAGCTGCCAATATCCTGACGAAATTTACATCAGCTAAAATCATTTCAACTGTCTACTTTTTATTTTATTTATGCACGAGTCATTTACATCTCTATTATCTCAACACTCAAATAACATTTTATGTTATATTTAACGGTGGTAGGCCCACGCAGCAGTCTCGGCTGTTGCACGAATGGGCAGGCCCGTGCAGGTAAGTACCACGACCTCACAGAGGACCGGCGTAAAGTGGAAGTATGACAAATACTTTCGTTCGCGTTTCGTCTGGTGAGTGAGGTAGCCGGAGCCCAATCTTCAAAACGCATCTGTAACCCTCGGGTGTAGCAGATGTCCATGGGCGGCGGCATTCACTTACCATCAGGTGAACCGTCTGCTCGTTTGGCAACTTTCACATAAAAAAAAAATTAACAACATTACACAGCATACATGTTGCTCAAGGGAGTTTTTCACCACTCTCAGCCAACAATAAACTAAATCGACGACAGCGGTTGTAGTTGATGGGCCGTCACATACCGTACTACAACGGCGTGTAAACGTGTGCACGTTTATACATATACGCGATATTAACTAACAAAATGAAGATGTATGTTGTCTCCAGGCTGAAAGTTAACATTTTGTATTTAATTTAAAGTCAACAAACACATTTAAAAAAATGTGACAATAAACTTGGATACAACTTATGCCACAATAGATAAATGTGCACCATGTTACCATATATAAAAATAATACTATTGTTTACTAGGACTCGCACAGCGATGATGAGCGTAGCAGCTCTCCAAAACGTAGAAGCCGTGGAGTAGAGTTACCTCCTGACCCATATTTGTTACTATCGCTTGTTTACTTTGACACATCTAGATGTGGAAATATAACTAAGAAAGATCTTCAGATTCTCTTTATGAGTCTGGGACTTCAACTATCCCGATCACAAATACGTGCTGTACTTGAAAAAGTGTGCATTAAAGACTCCTTCAGCTACAAGTAAGTATTTGTCCTTACATTTTTTCAAAAACCATAACCGTTTATTGATTTTTTTTTTAACCAAAAGCCTAGTCCATTGAATAGATTAAAAAATGTATATTTTATGTCTTAATATTTACGCTAATATCATATCGCATGATAAGATGTTTTTTTGTATATCATGGCAGAAAAACTATGTTTAAAATTATGACTAAAGAATAGGTATTTTGATTCAGAACACTTATTCAAGCAATCAAAGATTTGGCTTCAGGATCAACAGATGCTATGCAAGACATGCCTCTTGACACAACAATTGACACCAAGGAAGTTCCACCTCATGTAAGTTAAATATGATAATTGATGTTACGGTCATTCAAGGCATACATTTCACATATACCTTTAATTCAGATTAAGATAAAATTAAGCATATATGGGCTAATATGATATTTTGTTTATTTATAGATTGCAGAATTGGAAGCAACAATTGCAGCAGGTAACCGAGAATTACTACCATTGTTTGGCAAATCAACTGATGAAGAGGGAAAAGTGAAATCAGATACAACAGATGTCAGTGATACGGGTAATTATTAATTTTGTTCATCAGATAAAAATAACTGTAACTGTTATTTGTAATTTAAAATATTTGCTTTAATACAATATTTTTTTCCAACTAATTGTATTTCACTAATAAACACAATTGTACTTCATTAATAAACACTCTTATCTTCATGTTGTAGAAAAAGTGTAAACTTATGATAAATAATTTTGTTATTCAAGTATAGTCATGTAACGTAAATTTGTTTTTCAGGTATAGTCATGTACAAATCCAGAGTGGTTGATGTTGAGGCCTTGGTAGAACAGGCGTCCAGGGCGGCCGGAGAGCGGGCTAGACTCGAAACTGCGATAGAAAACCTTAAGACCGCATTGAAAGCAGCCCGCGCTACTGCCGCATTTACCCAGCAGGCCGAGAGAGGAGCACAAAGCCAATTATGCGACCTCAATGCCCAGCTTGCAGCATCTAAAGCTCGGGTCACCTCCCTCATGGTAAGTTCTTCAAATGCTTTATGGCCCCATTTTCTAGAGTGATCATCTGACTCTTGGGGAAAACCTTTTCTTTAATATTATTTTTTTAAATTATTTGTTGTTAAATTGCATGGATAGGGCAGGTCCATCCGGGTACGTACCATAACCTCACAGAGAACCAGTGTGAAGTGTCATACTTGTGTGTTTCGTCTGGTGAGGTAGCCGCGCCCCACTTTATTAAAAGGTGACAATGCCTCTGCGGCCTCTGCGAATGTTCCAAATGTCCATGGATGGCAGTTATCACTTAACACCAGGTGACCCGCCGGTTCGCTTGCCTCCTTCTCACATTAAAAAAAGAAACTTAAGTGCATGTGAATTATGGGTGGTCAAAACATTGGCCAGACATCAGTGGGACATGTTGTGTGTTTAAGAGTGAAAACAATAATATTAATGGTGGCAGGCACATACGAGAACCAATTAAACACAGTTATTAAGTGTAATAAGTGTTTAGGATATCTCTTTTATTATGTTCTTCACATACTGTGCCATTCACAAAAAAGTGCATAGTGGCATATTTTTTGTGCCATGTACTAAAAGTTATTACTCTTAGAACATGTTTACCTTTCATATAACTGGCAGGTTCACTATGCCTGAAATTAAATTTCTCTGACAATTCAATTATAGCCTAACTATTCAGCGAGGAAATGCAGCTAGCGTTCTTGGCACCATGCCGCGTGGATTAGGTTTATTAGATAATATGTAATTTTAGATAGATTTAATCTTGTAAATATTAGATCAATAAAGATTGTAAACATTCAATTACGATCCAAAAAGCATTTATTTTCATGGCTAACTCAATTTGATGATGGCTCACCATATTATTTATTTATTTATTTATACTTTATTGCAACCTTAAATAAAAAGGATTACAAAGGGCAAACTTAATGCCTTTTGGCATTCTCTCCCAGTCAACCCGGGGCGTGGTGAGAAATCGTGGATTGTGAATATTGTTATTCGTTATTTTAATATCAATGGTAGCTATGTGTAATTTACATTTTATAAATTTAATTATGGTTTTTTACAGGCCAGTTCAAAAATTTTCCATTCAACATTGAAGAGTATCCAGGCCAAAGTGGAAGCTGTGGTAAACATAAAGTATGATGATGATGATGTAGTTGAGGTTGTTAATGGCCCCGTTAAGTAAGTTATAACATTGTAGAAAGACATAAAACTGAACAAAACTATTAACCTACATGAAATTATACTTTATTTTACTTATTTTTTTAGGGAAGAAAAAGACACAAATGTTGAAAAGGAAAAAGTGGACACTGTTGATAAAGAGGCAACAGAAGGAAAGCAATCTATTGATAAGTTCAATGAAGCTGATATAAAGGACAAAGAAAATGATATTACGACAATGGAAAATATGGAGATTGATGACAAAGAATAACACAGGTGTGCATTTTTAGATGAGGTGAAATCTTAAATGGTTTTTTCAGAATTGGAATAAGAATTGTCATTAGTTTTATGTTAAGAAATAAATTTCATAGATAGGTTTATGAATTGATTATAGTTGAATTACAAACTGTGTATAAATTACAAGCTGAGAGAATATAAGTTAAATAAGGAGTAAAGAACTAATTATTGTGTACATGTAATATTAAATAAAAAAATTCAACTCACAAACTAGTGAAGTTATTTTAATTTTCGATTTTTTGTTAAATAAAATTCTCAAGTGTGAAATTTTGTAATGTAAATTAGCAGTGTATGTATGTTATGTATGTTTCTTGAAAAAAATAGATGTCTCAGAATGGGGATGCGGCATTTCTTTGTATTTATGGGTGAAGTACCTTACATAGAATTGAGTACTTCTAAGCAATTAAAAGTTACAATTGCTTCCATTTTATACAACTTAAATATTTAAAATAAGTAATTGTTAGTACAACTTAACTTTACTAATTGCTTAAATTGAAAATGTTTTTTTTAATATTGGGATATTAAGTTCTAAGAATGTAGTCAATGATAGATTAATAGAACTTACTCTGAATAGAAGTGGTAATTAAAGATGTTTTTGAACTGAATTTAACTTTCCAGTTAAGGATAAGGAATTTTCGCTTTTGTGTATCTTCTAAGAACAATAAATATACTTTAGCATATCTTAAAAGTTTATTTATTTGACCTTAATTTTTTGTCTTATAGTGCTTATATAGCTTTTAATTGAATATCGAAAATATAGAAACCCGATTTCAATTTCCGATGCCGCCGGTACATGCTCAACGTAAAAGAGACGTTTACATTTTAGTTTAGTTACCATCATATAAATATTGACATTAATATTTATACGATACTAACGTCACTCAATTGTTTTGTCTTCCCGGAACCCCTCCACTAACACTTAAACTTTATGGTATGGTATTAAAGTTCAAATTGACTTAACTATTATTACGAATCTTTTGTATGGGAATATAGGTCTAAAAAGTGTTATTTTTAGACTTTCAGGCAATTTTTTAAATTTTTCTGTCCGTAAGAACCATCCTCGTATTTCAAGGAATACTATAAAAAAAGAATTAGCGAAATCGGAGATTTGTGCTTAGCAACATTCAACGATTCATTTTTATATACAGACAGAGATATATACCCGAATGGCGCAGTAGGTACTGTACCGCCTCCTGCGCCAGAAGGTGCGGGTTCGATCCCCACTATTGGAAAAATATTTTGTGATGAACATAGTGTTTTTCTGATGTCTGGGTGTTTATATAATTATGTATATATTTACAAAATAAAAGTATGTTCCAGTTATTAATTACCCATAGTACAAGCGTTGCTTAGATTGGGACTAGAGAACAATGTGTAAAAATGTGTCCTAAAATATTTATTATTTTTATTTTATTTCATTTATTTATATACAGTCTGCCATTCCGCTGCAGAGTCGCAGTAGAATAATCCACACATACCATCTGCGATGTATGTATACAGCGTGTCTTTACAATCACGACGATAAATGAACACATATAGATGATAACTTTTTAAAATTAAACATTTACTTTCTTTTAACATCAATATTTACAGAGTTATTAAATTTTCCAAAACAAAGAATTTTAGAACAACCTTACGTATAAAACTGTAACGTAAAGTTCTTTTGTAAAGGTCACAAAGCATATGAATGGGTTGAATGAATTTAAAAGAGACAAAACATACTGTTAGAAGGAGAGGCTTGTAAATGCGACGCTGTGACAACGAATAAAAAAGCTGAATGTATGAATCAGTCAGTTGTAGTTGTATGTTACAAATTTTGTTTCTTTTTTTACTTAATTAGTTTGTTTGAAAAATATTTTTTGTAACTATGGATTGTTTTTACCATTAATATTTTTTTATGATTATTGGCAAGTAGCGTTAGACGTGTTTTCATTTATTGTCGCGATGGTAACGACACGCTGTATACTTTATAGAGTAAGAGCCCGTGAACGCCATTCGTCATTTTTTTAAAAGCTGAAAGTTTGTCAGCACATGCTCCTAATACAGGTAAGAACGATGGATCACTACGGAGTTTGGGTTACCTGGGCTTTGGGAGCTGTTGTTTTTTGTCTGGCAAGGGGTTGCAACTAACAAAAATGTCTGGCTAATGAGGAAAAATCATATACTTATTACCCAAGTATTATATATAAACGCTTTTATACTATAACGTAAGTAAAATTATAAATTCATGAACATTAAAGGCGTCTGGCAAGGGTTTGCCACTATGTAGTGTCTGGCAATGAATAACGTGATTTTTAATAATATTCTGAATGTAATACCAAAAAATCGCACTTTACTGATTAAAAATTCAAGTAAATCGGTATTTTACACACCTTCAGTACCGTTTTCCTCTCAAAGCCCAGGTAACCCAAACTGCATAATGGTCCATCGTTCTTACCCGTGTTGGGAGCATGCGCTGACAAACTTTCAGCTTTTATAAAATGACGAAGGTCTGGCGTTCACGGGCTCTTAGACTTTTAGTTTTACCAAATTTAGTATTAGTTTATTATTATTTAATAGTAAATAATTACTATTAGTTTGGGCTTGTTATTTAAGTTCTATTTAGATTATTAAAGTTCTATATATAATGTCAGTTTATACCATTCTCCGAATTAAATGGAGCAGGTATGATCTATCGTTGTAGCCCGTGCAAGTAAAACTATCTACATGTTACGAATATCGTCTTGGCGTGAATCATAACATTTGTCAATGTTTGTTTTAAAAGAGCGCATAATCTTTCCTCAAAGGCCGGCAACGCATTTGCAAGCCCTCCGGTGTTACAGATGTTCATGGGCGGTGGTGAAAACTTTCCATCTGATTATATGAAGAAAAAAAAAAACGCTCACTCTTGCAACATTTTATTTTTATATAAAATAAAGAGCAATTTAATTGAAATAAGCCGATGTTATAAAATACTATGCGAATTATATAATATTAATTATAAAATAAAATTTCAGACTTATTTAGTACCATAATTACCCAAATGACCCAGGAAAATAATGAAACTTAAAGTGTTAAAGCAGAAATTGTAAACAGTTTTAAATAAAACGATGGGAAAATTTTCACTATTTTTGCTTGCTTTGTGAAATTAATAATGGAAATAATATTACTTTCTAAATACATATATCCTTATTATTATTTCTTAACAAATATACTTACCATTATGTAAATTTTCATCAACATAAACTAACATGAATAGAAAGTTATATACTGAATGATATCTCTCACAGATGTATAGCTCTCAATTGATACATGGCTTTTCATATGATTCATGTAAGAAGAAATTCATAGCTAAATGTAAGATATTCCCGTCCCTGGCATATCTAACTGGTATAAAATAAATGCACGCTAAAGAAAGAAAGAACTTCTCTCCAGTTGGTCAGACAAAGAAACCAACTTGTTGTTGCCACTGTTTTAAACAGTGAATTTAGCTCAGCAAGTTATCTGCTATGACTTACAAAAGTAATTTAATGTTATTCAGTTTGATTTAGTTTTCAGTTTGAAAATCGAAATAACTGCTCTTCATTCAGTTATTATAAACAAACAAATTATGAGTATGATTAAACTCCTAAGCATTAAATTTCCTCGACTCACGGCTGCAAGTATTCCAAAAGCGTTCCGTGTAGCCATGCATGTAGTAAGTTTACAGTTGTAGCCTTATCTTTACTCAACTTTCATGTTCGGAAATGTCAAGTAAACATGCAAGATAACGCAAGTAGAAAGAAGATCTAATTATTCATGTTTAGGGACAGGAACTACTTTGATAAACATTAATGGTTACTATTTACTTTATAGTTAGAGAAGCTTAGAAATTAACAAGTTGTATCCCTTAGTTTCTATGTATAGCAACAATGCAAATATTTACTAATTGTAATAAATATATTTCATGATTAAATGATTTTAGAAATAAAGGAATACAATCAAAATAATATGACAACTTTTAATTTTCTTAATCATTATTATATGGAACAAGTAAAAATATTGAAAACATTTTTGAAATTTATATGTATATATATATATGTATATACACTACTTCTAAATCTTAACAAGAATTTTTGTCTACCTACTTATAACAAAATGGCATTATGTTATACATACACATTTAAAATGTTTTACATTTTTTTTTGAATTTTGTGGTGCGTACAAAGTTTTATTTGACAAGCACAAGTTTAAAAAAAAAAGCATTTATTTAAGTATCATTATGCATTTATACTGATACTTATTAATACGAAAAGAGATTGCCCCTATATGTTGAAGTATTGTGTGTATAAAGCATATAAGGGTTAATTGAAATAGCACACCACTGTTTATTATATTTGGATTAATATAATAACATCTCTTATTCCTTATAGAATAAGAAATTTTCATAAATAAAGAGAATCTTTAATTTCCATCATACTAGTTTTATAATTTGGGGAAAATCTAGCAGTTAGTGGCAATAAAGATGCATTCATAATCTTAATTTTTATAATTTGATGAATACAACCCATCAGTTGTTACTCCACTTTTTCTCTTTACCATATTGCAAGTTGGAAAGTAGAAGCTTCTTTATGTGAATATTTTTGACTAAATCGTGTAAAATTAATTTATAAAGCGGTAGTTATGGTAAGATTTTGGCCAAAACGCCGTAACTTCTTAATGTGGTACAGCCGAATAGCAGCTTTCGCTGTAGCACAAATGTGCTGGCTTGACTGGAAAATTACACTCTCTAGAAAACAGATGCAAAAAAAAAAATACTGCAAGTATTTGCACTGCTACTGCAAACCTATAAAGTATTGTGAATGTCTATGCACATGTAATTACTAAATTTAAGCCAAACAATCTTCTCATTTGCAGTCTTCCCCCCTTTTAATGAGAAAAGAGAATTTAGGCTGACGAATGCAGTCCTCTCACACGCAGGGCTCCACGTAGTTACCCGGAAAGAGGCCGGTGACTCCGTCCATGACACCCTCCCACCAGCCGTCATCGTTCTTCTTCAGCACGTATATCACAGAGCTCTCCTGGAAGGACAGCTCGTCCTCTTTGTCCGCGTAATAGTCGTATATAGCCACCACTGTAAACATTTGTATTCAATTTGTATCTTTCTCCGTGTAGGATAATATTAAATTGTGTTGTAAGGACCATTCACATACATAAATTTCACATAAACACCCAGACCTGAAAAAATTCAGGTCACAGAAATATTTGTCTTGTGTGGGGATGGAACCCACGACACCCTGCGCTTCGGCGCAGGGTGTCGTGGCCTTGGCAACTGCGCCGTGTAGTCATCTACTGCAAATATTTATTGAACTTAATACGCCCAGCCATTTGACTAATTTTTACAGCAACTAATACACAAGGTATTATCCAAACTAAATGTTTAGTTAGCCCGACCCTGTTGGCTTCTCAATCTTAGTTGAGGGTATACAGCATGGTAGGCTAGGGTACATCTGTAATTTTTTTACAAAGGTGTCCTAAGTGGATAACGGGGCATTTCTCACCAAACATGCCACTAAGTTTTTGATTTTGTATATAAAAAAGCTGCTAGTGAGTCCTTAGTCATGATGGCAATGAAGAAATATATACCTTTCTCAATATAATTCTTCGGCACCCAACCCGGTAAGTCTTCTTCATCGGGGACTATAGCAGGCACCACACTTGAGTATGGAGCACTCATCTTGTTCTATTAAACAAAACAGTACTCACGTTTTTTAACGTATTTTACGTTCAGCTAACTTAAAACTCACAAACGGAAAAATTCACATGACTAAATTAGTAATGTGCTATCTTAACAAAACAAGCAGCGTTCAATTTGGTTACAGCTGACTCATAAATTTTTTTCTGAAACAATTTACTTTATTTTCACTTGGCACTAAATGTATGTATTTCAATTCTGCATTATTTATTGTTTAACGAACGCAGAAAATAAACTGCTACTAATTCTGAGGAGTCAGTCTCTATTTTTAAGACTTTATATTTTTTACAAGATAATATTGTGCAAAAAATATATTCTGAAATATTTATTTATTTAATTTACTCACGGCCGCGTGGAGCTCGTCGTCGAGGGGCGGCGGTGGTAGGGGCGGGGAGACGGAGCCGCCGCGCAAAGAAGGCACTCCTGATGACGAAGACGCTCGCTATGAAGAAAACAAAATTTCACTCAATTACTTTTACGTATGAGTAAATCTTTACCGGTTTAGCACTTGATACACTTTCTCTCTCGTGGGTTCCGTGTTCGATTCCCACAGCGGCGACAATCTTTTCGTACTTATTCTACAAATTTAATGTTCAATCTTAAGTGCAAAGATGAGCACTATTAAAAATTTAAATTTATAAGAAGCAATGGCGACATCTCTCGTTCGAATTATCGTTGTAAAACGATATTCGAAATTGTTTGTATGCTGGAAAGGTTATAAAAATAGATGCGTCAAGCATTGCTTCAAATGCTAAATTACAATGTAGAAAGAAGGCGTTAAGATTTTCGTCTGTGTGGCTATGAGCCGTTTAGCTGTGGCTAGAGCGTCAGGCCGCGAATGCCTAAGACGTGGGTTCGATTCCGACAGCGGCGACAATTTTTTCGTACTTTTTCTACAAATTTAATGTTCAATCTTAAGTGCAAAGATTAGCACTATAAAAAATTTAAATTTACGTTGCTATCCTTCGAAGAAGAAATACACTCACTTCTTGAAGGTAACCTAACCGAAAATACCGTTATTTAAGTATTATGACCACCGTAAATTGTAAATTTTTGTAGATAAATAAACATCTTTGGGCACTACGGGATTCGACCTGCAACCCAGTTACGCGGCCGATAATCTCACGGCGTAAAAATCTTGACATCTATTTACATTCTTTCTATTGCATTTTTAGCAGTGCTTGCGCCACTAGATGCACCCTTTACGGCATGCAACACCTTTCAAAGAAAATTTAACGATGTACATTTGTAACAAGTGGTAACGCCTTATACATAGGTATATATTGTCATATTTTGCCTGAATTGGAAAAAAATTTACTGTGTTCTTTGTGATATAGGTCAAAAACCGTCGTTAAAACTATAATTACGATAGCTTTTGTTAAGAACTAGGAAAAAAACCTGTCCAGGAAGACTCATTGAATGTTGACTATGTTCTCCATCAGAGCCGATTAATGGAGAAGGTGGAGCTGAAATAAAAAAAATATTATTTTTAGTGACAGTTAAAGCAATAAAACGATAAGTATTAATATAATGTTGAAAATTCTTACGCGGCATACTCGAGTGCATGTCTTGCTGAGAATAATTGGAATTTGGTTGATGTTGATTTGGATGTACCATGCCAACCTATGTAAAAAAATCAATATAAAAATGTATATAAATATTGAGAACTTAGAAATTGTGTGTTGAAGTTGCACCTAAATCGGTTAAGCCTTTTCTGACACAAACGCACAGATACACAGACAAACAGCCAAAAATTTTAACAATCATTGTTTTGCGATTCAGCAGCACTCTACTGAGTTGATAAATAATACTTTTTCTCAAATATCTTTCATGTACAGACAAAGATCATTTACATTTTTATTATATGTATAGATAGGTATGATACAACATAATTTAAGTTAATTCCTATAATGATCAGTGTTTCAGAAACCGAGTCTAAGTTAAATAAATTGAATATCATGCTTTTAGCTCAAATTGAATTTTTATAGTGCTTTTTTTCTATAAAATATAATGCATTACTTAATTAAAAAACCCTATAAAAAGTCCAGCAGGCTCATTTTTTTTACACAACAGTTGAAATATTATTTTTTCTGTATTTTAGGCATATTTGTACATTTTACACAAAAATGTAGAGTTATGTCTAAAATACGGTTTTCGAAGATTCACTTGTAAGTCCAACTGCCAACAAGATATCATTGTAGTTTGTGGAAAAATTTTACTAGAGTCAGGACCTTGTATCTTGTATTAAGTGATGTTTGTGCTTTCAGTCCCGAGACTATTAAAGCGCTGAACTACGACATGTCATCTAAGGTCATACGACATGTCATCTAAGTCAGGACCAAAATTTACGCACCTGTGGTTGTGCTACTGGCAGTGTTGAGTAGCCTGGTGGACGTCGAGGGTAATTGGGCGCGTAGTGTGATGGCACTTGCGGTGGCGCCACAGCGGGAGGCGTTCGATACTCGCGGGAGGATTTCCCTGTTATTTTACCATTCAAAAGTATTAATTGCTAAACAATATAATATGACATGAACCTTAGTATCGGTTATTTACTGTCTGATTTATGCATTTGTAGACAGACGTCTTTATATTTTTGTGATTCTTTTACAACTCAATAACCTTGGCAGATTTAACATCACAATTTAAACGCTACTTGCCAATAATCATAAAAAATTATTAACGTTATACAAAATCCATAATTAAAAAAAAAATTTTTCAAACAAACTAATTAAGTAAAAAAGAAACAATTTGTAACATCCTATACAACTCACGCCACAGCGTCGCATTTTTTTTTTTGAACAGTATGTTTTGTCTCTTTTAAAATCATTCAACCTATTCATATGCTTTATGACCTATACAAATGAACTTTACGTTACAGTTTTATACGTAAGGGTGTTCTAAAATTCTTTGTTTTGGAAAGTTTAATAACTCTTTAAATATTTATGATTAAAGAATGTAAATGTTTAGTACAATTTTAAAAAGTTATCCCCTATATGTGTGTTCATTTATTGTCGTGATTGTAAAGACACGCTGTATACATGAAGTTACTTACATGGTCATTATAGTTAGTAGAATGATTACTGTTAGCTCACCAAAGGAAATACATGTTAATATGCATCTCATAAATATAAATCTACTAATAACAATGGTGTGGTAGAAGAAACTAATATTGAGCTCTGCAGATGGCTGGATAACATAATGACAATATGTAATATAAAGTCACATATTACTTTTTATCATAAATGTTAATTTAGTTTATATTATTTTCATGATAATAACAATATCATTAATGGAACACATTTACCAAGTGTTCCTCGGCCCAGTGTGCCAGTGTTTGTGGCAGAAGCTGCACGGACAGCCGCTGGTGGAGTTGGGGGCTTCGTAGTTGGAGCCGGCAATGTGGCGGATCCTTGTGCTGATACAGAGCGTCTGCCACGAGGGGTTCCACTGGTGCCTCCATTCCAACGGGCACCATGGCCAATATCATCCAGGGCTAAAAATATAATTAGATAACTGTCCCAATAGTATTAAAAGCATAATGCCTTAAGAAAACAGTGTAGTATTTTTCTACTTCTTATGCAACTGTATTATATGAGATTTACTTTAATTTGTTGAGCATAACCACAGCTAGATAGAATTCCATTGAAAGAATGTGACAAGTGTGAACTTCACATGCAGATGCAACTACTAATATGGCACATTCCAGGAGCTGGGAAATTTTCACAAAAATCATGCTACTACATTATATCATACTTCACATTGGGCAAAAGTTAATTCATTGTAGGTTAAGTTGATATTCTAATTCTTATTTTAATTAAATTAATAATTAGATTCTTAGCCTTCATAATTCACATATACTACAATTGTGGTACTATAATGAAAAAAAAAAATTACACTGTGTTAAAGGGTAAACCAATTAAATTATTTACTTACCAGTGTAATCAATATTCTTTCTGACATACTTAATTGGCTTCTCTGGATTAGCAGGTGCAATGATCTTGTATTGCCTGGGAGTTACTTTGTTTGCCGTTAATACTCCAATTTCTCTTCTAGCAACCTTTTCTTTGTGAATAGCAACAGTTTGAGCAATATGGTTCATTTGGCCTTCCATTTCTGCTAGCTGCATGGTTTGTAGCTCCAGTAATTGCAAGAAATTATATGCAAGAGTATTGATTTGATATGCTACACTAGCTAGTGATTGAGTAGTGTAATTTTTGGTACTTTCAAGAGCCAGCCTTTTATTTTCAGATTGGAAGTAATTAGCTTCGCAATATTCTGCCACACGCTCGAGGTTCGTATGACTATCGGTTAAGTGGTTACGTCCTTCAGGGATTTCCGTTTGTAACAAAGCTGCGAGCTCAGCCATTGTGAAACTGAAAGGAGAATATAATATTAAATGAGATATATATTTTTAACACTTGCGTATACTACACACTTAATAAAATAACTACGATTGTTAAATTTAAAATTAGCCATAATTCTTCACCCTAACATGACTATAGACGAAAATAAAATAGTTAACGAAAGACAGCTCATACACATAAAAGTATAGTAATAATCAAAATATAATGAAAGCAGTAAAAAGAATTACGACAATGTATTTGTATATTTACTTAATATGTAATAGATTAATAAAACTTACCAAAAAAAATAGTTTATATTTTTATGTTGCTGTGACTGTGACACTCTGTGTCAGATATTAGTTATTGTGCCTTGCCCTATACTAGGGATGTCGAAAAAATATCGATTAATGGATACTTTTGATTCTATACATCGCTATTTTCGGTTCCAATATATCGATACTTTTTTTTGGACAAAGGAGTTTCTACGAGATATATCTTCTTCTTCGATATATCGAGGACGATATAAATATTTATATATCTCTTCACTTTCGACATCTCTACCTTAAACTACATCCATATTAAGATGACAATATCACAGAACACAAATAATCCAAAGAGGACAGCACTCAAGTCCTTAGAGTAGGGATGGGTTATACTTGCTAAATCGCGTATCAGGTCTTAAAAGACCGTCCACCTTCTCATACCAGGTACAGAAACCAGGTATCAAAATACTTTCAAAGTATTATCGGTCCAACGCAACGAGTCGAATACTTGTTTCCTTGCAAGTTTAAGCCTTGTTACTATACAAATAATATTCAAAATATTCCAATCAAGACGTAAAATACTTTGAAAGTATTTTATTTCACGTATAAGCTCAATTTGAAGGTTATCTAATCAAGTAAAAGAGACACACCAGGTGAGACCGATATACATTGCTAAGCCATCGCACGAGATTCGTTTCGTTCGACGTTCGAGTTCGATCGACGTAGTAACACTTACTTCGAAGTGCTCGTATACTTGTGGATGAATGGAAAAATACTTTTAAGTCTTGCAAGTACATCAAGGTCGGTACCTGGTTGGTATACTTGCAAGGAAATACTTGGTATCAATACCTGGCAACGTAAATACGCACCATCTCTATTCTCTACTATACCATAGAGCTTATTTACTGCTTTCTGTAACCTATGTTGTTCTACAATCTACATTTCAAAAAGCTAAACAATTAATAATAAAATAAACAAAAAATAACGTAAATTGTTTATTTTTCAATTTGTCTTTATAAATATTATGAACTTTCACGTAGAAAGAGGAATAAACCTTTTGAACATTTTTTTTATTATTATAACGTGATTCACGTTAGATTTGAAGTTCTTAAATCGATTCGCTGTTGCAGATTCATCTAAAAATTGATTAACGGGACCTTTCAATTTATGTTAAAAACTGTTTACACCGATTTCCATTCAATTTAGATTAATTTTTATTTCTGGGTTATACAGTTTATTATTATAATATTTCCAAGATTAAAATCTAACTAAAATTCCATATTATCTAATAAACCTAATCCACCCGGCATGGTACCAAGAACACTAGCTGCATTTCTTCGCTGAATAGTTATGCTTAACCTTTGAGAGAGAAATGAACCAGCCGCGGCGTTGGCTAGAACATATACTTTTAAAAAAATTTGATGTGCCATAATTTGGGGACCCCACGGACCTAGTTTCAACTTCAAATGGCACAAATACATAATCTAAACATAAAGATTAAATTCGACTTTTAACTATGCGTCTCTGGGTCGACAGGAAGACGCTGTAAGCAGATATAAGCGTTCCATAGGCCATATGGGTCAACGAGCGGTTACGCCGCACTATGAGGCATGGAACGCGCAGGACACGCTACATATTGTACTATGAAACATGGCTCAATGCCTTTGCCTGCCATAGCGTGGTTCAAGATTCGCAGCTTACATGCGATAATGTCGTGTGCCATGCTGCTTTTAAATAGTTTGTTGTGTTGTTATTTAATATAAAGTCAGCATACGATCATTCGCAGTTAATTAAATCAAAATTTAAAAGAGGTCGTGAATGCCTCTGGTCTAAAAGCATAGACTACATAAAATAATTATTATAAGAGTTTAACGTGAGTTAAGGTGTAATTGGCGTCTTTGAGTATGGCTAAAACTGATGACTTAATTTAATAATTTTTAATAATTCACCAATAATTTCTTATATCAGCATCTTAAATATATGAAGAATATGTTCTTTAGGTGTCCAGTAAATTTCCTGAATATTATCAGGTATAGAGGTTAATTCTATAAAGATTTGTTTTTCATATACCATTCTTTATTTAAAACAAAATGGTAATTATTATTTAATAAATAAAAAAATATTAGTTTAAAATTCATTTAGTTGTAAGTTTACTAATTAGTTAAAATATTTTTTCTTTGGGAAAGTAGGTTAAAGTACTTTCCCTTTCATCATCACCATCGTTTCAGCCTGTTTGAATCCACTGATGAAAATAGGCCTCCCCCTTAGACTGCCACAAAGTATGATCTTGATCTCTTTAACTCTAAATAAATAATTTGTTTACTAATTTTACCATCAATTTAAGGCTTGTAATATTAAATCTACATAATCAGATTTTATTTAACAGAAATATTTTATAAGAGTACATTTTTAGCTAAATACTTATACTTGTGTACATTTTAGGTTTTTTTTTATTTTAAATCTAACAACATTGTCTGCCTAATAATATATAAACTTAAATAATTCTAACAAGAATTTTATGCATGTCATGTTTCAAGTGGATAAATAATGAATAATCTCACTGTATAAAAGTATCAAGTCAAAAGCACTGTTATAAAAACATCACCTTAGTAGTTGTTGACTTTAGTTTTAGTTAAAAAATTGAAAATGTTTTTCTTCAAAATTTCATATCAAGATATGAACTTTACAAATTTCATGTGGATAGCAGTACGTCCCAGTTTATCTCATTGTTGTAAACCTCTTGTTCCAGCCATAGTTCATAGTTGTCTTTAAATTCATCATCAAGTTCAACATTTGTTTCAAGAACACTGTTAATATCTGTATCAAGAGGAGTCAAATCAACTTCTTGTTCACCACCAGTACCATATCTTCTGTGATTGAAACGTTCGACACATGCCCTTAATGCACATTCTTCTTCTTGGAAGTCCCATGGTCTTGCATCCACATCATTGCCAAAGGCCCAGTCATCATTCAATCTATGACGAACTTTTGAATAAATAGCACTAATAGTCTTCATGTTGGTTTTCCTCCATTGTCTTCCCAAGTATTTGGTCTGCATTTTCAACAATTTTAAAACATAAAATTGCATTAAAGCATGTCTTACTTTCAGTGTGCGTTTTAATATAGGTGCACTTTTAAATACCACAAGCATCATAATTCTTGCATTCTTCCATTTGGTTAGTTTGTTTAAAATCCTTAATAAATTGATACATGAAAAAACATTCCTCCAAGAGTATGGTACTGAGGAATCTCCAATATCTAAGCATTCTTTAGTTAACTCTGGCTGTTCACCAATAACACAGGCAGGGAAGTCAAAAATTGGAATAGTGTTTTTGGCACCAACATATGACAAAATGTCTTGATTAAAAAACTTTAAGACTAGTGGCATACAATTTGCATACACCAGATGTTGTGACATGTGCTCAAACTGATAGACATGATTAATTTTGAAATGTTTGAGCAGGAGAAGGAGTATTGCTGTAACGGCTTTGACAATAATTTCCTTGTGCCTGTTTACATCAATACCAAGCTTCAATGATTGCAAAACAGTCACAGGCATTTCCTCAGGCAACAAGTCAGCCATTATATTAATAGAGTAAGTTTTTGCTGTGGAAGTTGGTGCTGCTGCTAAAAGAATTTTCAAAAGAGCAATCATGTACTGTGGCAGGTTAGGAAGCATAGCCCTGTACAGGATCTCAACTTCAGTTTCTTCAACTTCCTTTTCTGCTTTAGTTAGTGGACTCCGTGCTATCTCTATTTCTCGTTCAGCTTGTACTTCTGATAGACTTGTGTACATGTGTTTTTTCAGGATTTCTACACCTTCGTGAATCGGTTGTGGAAGTCCAGCTACAGTTTGTCTGTCTCCGGGAAGAGAATACCCAACAAACTTTATTCGCACATTATCCAAAAACATGTCAATGTCTTTTTGACGAACTTTAGACTGCCATGGTAAACTTCTAGGCAGGGGTGGCGGAGGTGGAGGGCTATCAAATTGTTTAAAATACATGTAGTAGGGGCAGTTTTGGTTTGTATTAGCATTTTGCATGTTATCTGTTGACATTGATTGAAATTCCATTGGATAATCTTCTGATCCATTAGTGGTTTCTTCTTTGTCTACATATATTTGCTCATCAGATTCATCAAGTGATGTCTGTTTCATAAAAGCTTGCCGACGTAGAGCTCTCTCATTTTCCTTTAATTTTCTTTGTCCAGGATTTTGATTTTCAAGCATGTCTGCTGCACTGGGTGGAGGAGAGCTAGCACGCATTCCTTTGATAATTTCAAGGGTATCTTCAGTAATAGGGGGTAAGCCAAATTTATCACGTAGTCTAGCCTTCCTTTCCTTCAATTCTTTAGAACCACCTAAATAAACAAGTAGTACTTTCCATAATAACAACAGTACTTTTTTCATTGGGAAGTATGGTGTGGTTCCAGCACAGAGATGTGTTACCATACTGAGTAATTTCACAGGTAAAAGTTCCTCTCCAAAAGGGGTACCAAGTTCCTCCTTAAAGTTTTTCACTAAATGTAAGTACTCCGAATCAGGATTCTCTTTTTCTGTTCTCATGTGTTCAGTAATTAAATACAGTACAGATAAAATTACTCGAAGATTTGTTGAATCTGGAAGAGATTCAGCAATTTTTCTCGAAGCCATTGCAGAACTGCTTCTAACAATTTCGAGATTCAATAATTCGATAAATGCAGCAAACGTTCCCATATCATAAAGTGTCATAATATTAATGCGCGCCCAATGAGCCTGCTCCGCGTCGGATTGCATTTCGGCCCAACATCCTTGCGCTAAGTATAGAATGCATCGAGCTGAGCGCATACGTATATCACTTACTGCAATATCTAAATGCTCTAATAGCTTCATAATTACGGTCCGCTGTTGAACTATCGTCAATCTTTGCCAGCTAGGTGGAAAATTAAATTCCTCCATTATGTCTTCGAATGCTCGCACATTTAGTTGAAATTCAGGATGCTCAGTGTAACTGTAAAGTTCGGCTATTTCGTTAGCTTGGGAATCACAATCGTCGTAAACGAAGTCTAGCTCAGGGCTATCCATGTCGTTGACACAGTCTCCTTCTTCCATGGGGCGGCGAACGTCGGGCATCTTTGTGCCACTTCGGCGACCATTGCCGTTAGTCCCCATTGCTGCACACTCTATTTACATTTAAAATTAATAATACATATTGTCGAGATAAATAATGTTAGTATTATTTTGTGAAACCAAAAGATTAGAAAAGCAGAACCGAATAGGTCTTTAAACGTCAAATTACGAGCACAGATTATTATTAGAACTTACTTTATTTTGACAACAGACAAGGAGTAAATAGTAGGATTTTTTTTTTAAGTATAGTTTTACTGTTTAGCTCGGAGGCTTTGTCTAAAGAGTTATAAATATATCGTATTATAACTATATAAGTCGTGGGGTTCAATATGAATAATGTCTATGTTTTAGTGGATTCTTTTTCATTATATCTTTATATATGTAATTCTTCTGTACGTGTGTATGTCACTTAACTCCTCCTAAACAGCTGGACCGATTTTAATGAAATTTTGTATGTGTCTTTAGGTCGACTCGAGAATGGTTTAGAATCACAATTTGGTCCATATTTTTTAATTTTTTTTAACTTATAGGTTGTCTTCGAACTTCACTCGTGCTTACAGGACAATGTCTGTCAGGTCCGCTAGTTTATTATATAGTGTAGACTATACATATAGGGCTCGCGTCTTATAATACTGTTTTTGATTGTCATATTTTTATTACTATTTTTGTAGTTATACTTCTTTTGGCGCGTTAGGGAAAAATGATGAGAGTGAATTTTTAGGGTGCGCGCGCACATCGTCACGAAAAACCGACAACCTAAAGTCTTGTATCTTGTATTAACTGATGTTTTTGCTTTCAGTCCCGAGACTATTAAAGCTTCATCGGACGCAGAACCGGTGGGCTAGCCAGAACCCACGGGTTTGGACCCTCCGCTATGAGTAGGGTCGCGCATGTGCTCATGCGTGCGTTTAACTACTATGGTGTGTCATCTAAGGGCCGTCGAGGTCGCCGGTTCGGACCGAGACCCCGACGGCCGTCGACTGTGCATTTAGCTAATCGGTGGCTGGGAGCGGTGAGGACCGCCCCGGAACGCGGGTGTACCTTGTGTACGCGTTGTGTGGGTCTCGCCGTGCTCGGAGGCGAGGGCGAACTGGTGTGATTGTTGTTACACTAACTGTGGGTGTAGTGTTATTCGGCGGGACCCCCGGCGGTGGGTCCATCGGATCTAAGTCCTCTTCGTCGACCGGGTCGATGAGGACGTTTCGCGGGCGACGCTTGTTTACGTTCGCGTTTGTGTCCGGTTGGTAGTTTGCTGCGCTTACCACCAGAGGGTTGGGATGATGCTGGGCTCTATCGAAGAACCGTTTTGTCAAATCTTTAAAATGTGCGCGAATCGTCGGGAGTCTGCAATCGCTGTGCAGGTCGACGTTGCGCTGATACCATTGCGCACCGGTTGCGCGGCGGATAAACTTACTTTGAACTACTTGCAATTTGTTAATGCGCGTAGGATTTATGTGTGCGAAGATCATGCATGCGTAGGACATGATTGGCCTTACGAAAGCTTTATATAAGAGTAATTTGTGCCTTAAGGGCATTTTACTTTGTTTATTCGTTAAATTATGTAGCCGGCCGGATACGAACGCGGCTTTATTTCGGACTTTATTGATGTGCGTAGTGAAAGTCATACGCGAGTCGAAAGTGACTCCTAAATATTTGACCGTTTTCTCCCAGGGGAGAGTTTGGCCATATAGTGATATTTTCCCCAACTTTCTGTACTGGCGAGGACCTTTGTAGCGGTGTGGCGGATGGGGGTTGGGGGTGCTACGAGTGAAGTGAATCGCCACACTTTTTTCTGGATTAATATCGATTCTCCATTTGCAGAACCAATCGCCGAGGCGGTCGGCGGCGCTTTGGAGTCGAGTCGTTAATTGACTGAGATTGCGATCTGAGTAAAAGAGCGCCGTGTCATCCGCGAAAAGCGCGAGATTGACGTGGGGGTCTTTAGGTATGTCGCTCGTGTACAGCGTAAATAGCAAGGGTGAGAGGCAGGAGCCTTGTGGTACGCCGGCCGTGAGGCGGCGGCTTGTGGAGAGGGTGCCCTCGACTCGATATCGAAAAGAGCGGTTCAACAAAAAGGCCCGGATGGTGTGTACGAGCCTATCTGGCACTTTGAGTGTGTACAGCTTGTAAAGCAAGCCGTTGTGCCAGACTTTGTCAAATGCTTTTGCGACATCGAAGAAGAGAGCCCCTGTACTAATGTGTTTGGGGTGGTTAAGGCCTTTTAGGATGTGCTCCGTTAGGCGGTATAACTGATCGGGACAAGAGTGTCTAGCTTGAAAGCCGAATTGTTCCGTCGGCAGAAGGCCGTTGGAAAATACGTGCTCTTTGAGCCTGTGACAAAAGCCGCTCGTACAGCTTCCCCACGCAACTGAGGAGGCTGATAGGACGATAGCTAGAGGGCTGATTGGCTGGTTTATTCGGCTTGCGAATGCCGATAACCGTGGCTTGCTTCCAGTCGTCCGGAAAGGAGCAACTGGAGAGAAGGGTATTGAAGATGGTCGCCAGTAAACAGATAAGTGGCCCAGGGAGAGCTTTGAGAATCTTATTACTTATATTATCTGGGCCCGGGGCGGATTTTGGTTTTAAAACGTCAGATGAAGCTTTAATAGTCACTGGACTGAAAGCACAAACATCAGTTAATACAAGATACAAGGTTTTAAATTTTTGGACCTCTTCGGGGGTCACTGAATTACAACCTAAAGTTCTCTAGACATCTACGTATGTTTGCGCGAGAACTGACAACTGTATTCACGATATTTATTTTGTGATATTTAAATAGATAATGCGTTATAATAAAATATGTATTAAATACCTTTTTTCTTTAGTAAGTGTCATTTTTTATCTTGTTACGCCAAAGAATTATAACTTCTAACGCGTGTACATAAGTACACACACGCTTTTTTTTATTACTAGTACTATTTTATTATCTTTATACAGAGCAAAAACCGTGTTGATATTGTTGATATCGATGAATTTTATTTAAGTACTAGCGTTCCGTCCCGGCTTCGCACGGGTGCAATATAGTACAAACATAGTACAAAACAAAGTCATCCCACTGTCTGTCTGTCCTTTGTTGTTTGCTTAGAACTTTAAAACTACGCAACGGATTTTGATGCGTTTTTTTATTCAATAGAGTTATTCAAGAGGAAGATGAGAACCACTTCCACTGTTTCCTCTATTCCGTGGCTCTCAGTACATAATTGAAAATGTTATGTATGTCCATAATAATAAGGATGAATTTTTAATTTTTTTTAAATACTGGGAACAAACATAAATTAATACTATCAACAAAAAGTTATGTTAATACGAATCTTATACTTTAAACGAGCAATTTTTGTATAATTGTTATATATAATCGGAATCTCGGAAACGGCTCCAGCGATTTTCATGAAATTTAGTATGTGCGTAGATTCGGTAGCGAAAAATTGATCTGGCTAGGTTTCATTTTTAGAAAATGTCGTTTTATCCCAGTTTAATTAATTACCAAAAAAATCCGGTCCTCCAGGTACTGATTATTTAAATGATCAAAATATATTTTAAACATGTTCTCAATGTCAACAGAGTCCCGCTATAAAAATGTCTTTCACTAGTTCTTCTCAGATCAGTGGCTTTACTTTTTTAAAATGATTGTGGTATTTGGACAATCAATAAGTGAGTGCTCCTATGTTGAATATAGATATTTGAATTTGAATGCTTCGTTGGAAGAGATCTTTAGGCAGATTACCAGCACACAAAAAATAACATCGTAGCTGGTGAACGATGAACACATAACGATGCCCTCCGCTCCGTTACCCTCCACGACTTCTGTTAAGGAGAGATTTCGATTAAGTTCGACTAATAGGCTAGACCAGATACAAGGTTCTTCGAGATAGAGTCAGGTCCGGGGGCGCAACGGTTTTTGTATGTTTATCACCATAATACCTGCGTTAGGCAAACGAGTGTGATGAAGGGTGGCGGGTTGGCGAGTTGCATGCTAGATAGACTGATTTAATATTTCTTGCCACCTACCAATAAGCAATCTGTGATGACGAGATGTCGTATCTCATCCAGTGGCGTAGCTAGGTGGACATGGGCCTCGGTGCATAGAGAAAAAAACGTAGTAGCTTACATAGTAGAATTACTCTATACGGCGTCTTTATGAGGATCAGAATCAGTACCGTTTTTACCATAAGGGCATACGGGGCCCGTGCCCAGGGCCCCCGTCGCCAGGGGAGGGGGATGTTGTTACCGATTTTCTGACAAGCTTGAGCAGTGACTAGTTTGATAGAAAACGTAAATTTGGGACTATAGGTATAGTCATGGAGAACAGAAACTGCGTGAGATTGCTTTCAGTCACGCCCAAAATGAAACTAGAACTAGAACCTTTACAGACAAGTTAACATGGGACGTAAGAATTCTAACCCAGAACCACGTAATGTTGATGTAAGGATGGACAGGTACTCAATGATAAAGCTGAGATCATTCAAAGATGGGTTGAATACTTTCATGAACATGTTAACGACTCAGTAAAACCAAACCTACTTTCTGGATACTGGAAGGCCCAATAAGCAATCAACAGGCCGATAATAGGTTTTGGATCTAACTGTGCAAGACACCCAACGAGCCTTCAATCTATTAACAATAACAAATCACCGGGAATGGACTACATCCAAGGTGAGCTTCCCAACAAAACTCGTGCGCCTGACAAAGATGACTCTAAGAAACTCTCAGAGTGTTGTTAGGGTTCAGACAGAGTTATCAGAACCCTTCAGAACCAACAACTGCTTAAGACATGGGGATGCACTCTTTTGTCTATTATTCAACATCGCTCTCGACAAATGTATCCGCGACTCAAAAAAATCGGGACTATTTACAAGAAATCCGTCCAAATTCTGGGATATGCAGATGACTTCGACGTGATAGGTAGATCCCTGCCTGCATTGGAGAATGCATATCTTTGAGAAATCAGCTGCGGGAGCCGGTCTCCAGGTTAACATTGCCTAGTATCAGCAAATATCAAAAGACCAGCAAGCTCTTCTCTAGCGTCAACGAATTTGTTTACC